TGTGTGTGTGTGTGTGTGTGTGTGTGTGTGTGTGTGTGTGTGTGTGTAGAGCCTGGTGCATCTGACCCTGGTGCTGAGGTAGGGAGAGAATCAAACCTGAGCTGATCTGGAGTACGGCAGATGATATGACATCAACTGTGGAAAGCAACATAAAAGATTATAAAAGTATCTTAAAGGGAACATGTTTAGGTCCAAATGCAAACAGGACTCAAAACTCTAGTCTGATCAAACAACATTTGAAAACTGTGAAGGATTAGCTGGGTAGGTAGATGTCTGTAAGCCCAGTGCAGAGAGTTGAGGCAAGAGGACCATCATGAAGTTGAACCCAGTCTGGACTATGCAGTGAGGTCCTGTCACAGAAATGTAAAATCAGCCTTAGCAGGGTAACACAGGCCATGATCCTAGTGCTTGGGAAGTGGAGGCAGGAAGAGCAGGAGTTTAAGGCCATCCTCTGCAATATTTCAAGTTCAAGGCTAGTTTGGGCTACCTGAGCTTGTCTCAAAAAAAAAAAAAAAAAAAGAAAAAAAAAGGAAAGAAAGAAAGAAAAGAAAGAGCTAGAGAGGGAATGGTGGCGCATGCCTTTAACCCCAGCACTTGGGAGGCAGAAGCAGGAGGATCTCTGTGAGTTTGAGACCAGCCTGGTCTACAAAGTGAGTTCCAGGACAGCCAGGGATGTTACACAGAGAAACCCTGACTCAAAGAACCTATAAATAGCCAAGACCTCTGTGTGTGGTAGCTGGACAGGGTGTTTTGCCTCACCAGAAATACAGAAAACAATGAACAATGGCCAGGTGTCTACCAGTAGGCAACATGCAGAGCCAGAAGTGTTAGGGAAGACATACACTTCCCTGTGGATGCTCAGGTGCTGCTCCCACAGAAACACACACTTCAGGCCTCACAAGTTACCATCCACAGCTTCTCTGTGTGTGGTACTGGAGGGAGGCGCTGAGTGTCCAGTCAGGACACATGTACCATGATGGTTGCATTTCACTTGGATGATGTCTGAAGAAACAGAGGCAGTGTGCTGTCTGTTGGCATATTCTGGGCTAGACACAGGGCCCAGATAAGGCACCAGGAAGTAAAACTGAATCGAGTGGTGGGGTTGTTGGGGATTGGGGGCTCTTCAGAGACTGAGCCTTGTGTCCCTGTGCTGTGTGACTGTGCTCTTAGAAAGCTGACTTGGGTCTAAACGCGCTATCAAAAACCTGGCAAGGCTCCCACAGCACATAAAGCGGGGTTTGGAGTGGAAGAGATCCTAGGCCAGGGCCAAGCAGGGGCCCGCAGGGACTCATGGGCACAGCTGCTGGCCCCTGTTCTCAACAGAGGCTGGCCACTGGCCCCACAGCCCTGCTGAGGCCGCACTTTTGCTGTGTAAACTGCTCTGTGGCTCTGGGTGGAGACTCCCTCCCTGCCGATCTATAATTTCTCAGAAAAGAGACTGAGGAATAACCTGGAAAATGCCCTAGACATGGGGCGGCATGGTGGGAGCCACAGCCCCCTGATCCTCCCAGACCAGACTACTTCCTCTGCTTGCTTAGAGATGGCTCCCAATAGCCCCCAGCCCCCTGAGAAGCTGTCCTTCCTGAAAGCCAGCACTGCCTTGCCTGGCCCCTCCCGTGTGCATTCCCACATCTCAGGCAGGGCAAAGGGACACAGCTCAAGGCAGGTCTTGCCGAGCTTCGGAGCGCGCGTCAGGTCACGGCTCTCAGGCCCTGAGGAGGAGGCCGAGATGTGGCTCCGGCAGGGTGAGTGGAGCCAGGCCCAGGTTGAGGGCCCCACACGCAGCCCTCCTGCCTCCTCCAGGGGCAGCATGTGTACCCGGGGTCTTTGCACACAAGGAAGTAGTAGGTAGTTAGGCCCTCTGTACTGCAGAGGCCGTGGAAGCTGGCTCTGCCCCTTGAGGCTTTGGTGCTGTCTTCCTACCAGCCCTTCTTAGGAGGACTGTGCTGGGGACAGCAAACATGGGGTAGCTGGCGGCCCTGCCAGGTGTTCCTAGAAGAGGCCCCGGGGGAGGGGTGGTAGCCAGACGTCAGCTGACCTAGAGGTCACAGGAGGGCTGAGACTGGGCCTTGGACAAATCCCTGGACTGGGCGGCACAAATCATGGGTCCACTTAGGCTTAAGAAACTCCGGTCAGACAGCATGCGAAAAGTACAGGAGAGGCTTAGGAGACAGGGCAAAACTACTTAACCCTGACATCTGCTCAGTATAGGGGTGAGTGGGGGGATTCCCAGGAACCCAGGAGCTCCCCTCACCTTGGCTAAACCTACTGAGAGACAGGGCCCCCTACACCTACCTTGAGCACCAATCCTGTAAGGCTACGCCACCAAGCCTCTACCTCTAACACCAGCAGGGGTGGCCTTCAGAGCCCACCTCTCCCCTGAGGGAGACTTTGGGGCAGACAAAGTGCCCCCCGCCCCCGCACCATCCGCACCCAGGAAAGCCGCTGTGGAGACTAGTTGCCCAGCACTAGAGGGTTAAAAGAGCTGGGGCGTGGGGCAGGGCCAGCTGAGGGCTGCCAGCTACAGGCAGTGGGGAAATCCACGGGGCAGCAGCCTGTACTGTAGACGGCCCTTGCTCACTGCCTGCCTGCAGCCAGCTCTGTACAAGGAACAATGGTCCTGAGGACAGGTGAGGAACTCCCTGCACTTGCTCTGGTCCTCAACCCTGAGCCCACTGGGAGAAGCCACAGTAAGCTCAACTTAGAGTTGGCTGGTGGGAATTTTGGGTTGGGTCTTGGATACAACAATTCCTGGCACCAGAGGGTCTGTGTTACTCTTTCCCTTGGTGGTGGCGCTGTGGGAAAGGGCCAGATGAAGGCAGGACAGACAGAAGAAACAAGTACCTCAACCCTGGGCATAGGGTGCAGAAATGGGGCTTATCAGACCCTACATCCCCACCTCACCGCTTGCTGAGACGGTGTGCTACACACGGCCATGATCCTTCTAGCTGCCGTTCCTCTTAAGGGCCTGCCTTTGGGTGAACCAGAAATGTCTTATTCCTTGTCTGCCTTTGGCGAGCTCCCACAATGCCTAGGGCTGGCCCCACTGAGTCTCACTTCCAAACCACCATTCCGCAGTCACACCAGATACTGCGTAGGTGTGGAGTAGTGTTGTCCTGCCCAACTTGATCCGGCGCTCTCAGCATTTGCCCGAGGTAGATTAGAATTGGGGTGCTAGCTGGGTTTGTGTGATTTGATGCCTAGTTGAATGAACAGTTGGAATTTTCTAGACCTCCCACTCTTCTAACAGCAAGGGTTATAGCCTTCATACACTGGGAGCAAAAAAGGAGCACATCACCCACTTGGGGGCCTAACAGGCAGGGAATGGACGGTTTCCTGTCCAGTCACTGAGGACCACAAATGAATATGCCACTCGAGTCTATCCCAGAATATTCTGGAGCAGTCAGATCTTGTCCAGCACCTAGATTCTGTTTTTCTGCCTGGCTGTTGTATATACCCCAGAGGACACAGACCGCCTAGTGGCCAGGGCCCAGGTTGCCTGTGAAGCCAGGGCGAAATGGAAGAGCCTAGCCCTCGGTGCCCTTGCAGTGGGATGTGGACCACCACTTGCTGGTTCCATGGGTTGGAAAACCGAAGTGGCTTCAAAAGGTAGGACCTAGCTGTCACCAGTGTCTGCTTGGTATCAAAGTGGGATGACATTCCTCTCTTACAATGGCTGAGGGTTAGGGAAGCCCAGGGTTTGGGCTCACATGCTGGGGCACAGTCCTCTGGGCACCTCCTTGCCAAGCCCTTCTCCCCACAGGAAGCCCAGCCTTGGTGGTGCTTCTGGCTTTCTTGGTGGCACTGGGCCCCTGTTACCTGCAGGGGACAGATCTTGGAGCATCAGCAGATGCCGAGGGCCCCCAGTGCCCTGTCACCTGTACCTGCAGCTATGATGACTACACAGAGGAGCTCAGTGTCTTTTGCAGTTCAAGGAACCTCACGAGGCTGCCCGATGGCATCCCAGTCAGCACCAGGGCCCTGTGGCTCGACGGCAACAACCTCTCCTCCATCCCCTCAGCGGCCTTCCAGAATCTGTCCAGCCTGGACTTTCTCAACCTGCAGGGCAGCTGGCTGAGGAGCCTGGAGCCACAGGCACTGCTGGGCCTGCAGAACCTCTACCATCTGCACCTGGAACGGAACCTGCTCCGGAGCCTAGCGGCCGGCTTGTTCACACACACACCAAGTCTGGCTTCACTTAGCCTGGGTAATAACCTCCTGGGCCGGCTGGAAGAAGGGCTGTTCCAGGGCCTCAGTCACCTTTGGGACCTCAACCTGGGTTGGAACAGCCTAGTGGTCCTGCCTGACACAGTGTTCCAGGGCCTGGGTAACCTCCATGAGCTGGTGCTGGCTGGCAACAAACTGACTTACCTGCAGCCTGCGCTCTTCTGTGGCTTGGGCGAGCTGCGGGAGCTGGATCTGAGCAGGAACGCACTCCGAAGTATAAAAGCTAATGTCTTTATCCAACTGCCCAGGCTGCAGAAGCTCTACCTGGACCGCAACCTCATTACAGCTGTCGCCCCCCGCGCCTTCCTGGGCATGAAGGCACTGCGTTGGCTAGACCTGTCACACAACCGCGTGGCGGGCCTCCTGGAGGACACCTTCCCAGGCCTGCTAGGTCTGCATGTCCTGCGTCTGGCACACAATGCCATCACTAGCTTGCGACCACGTACTTTCAAAGACCTACACTTCCTGGAGGAACTGCAGCTTAGCCACAATCGGATCCGGCAGCTAGGTGAGAAGACGTTTGAGGGCCTGGGGCAGCTGGAGGTCCTGACGCTCAGTGACAATCAGATCCAAGAGGTCAAGGTGGGAGCCTTCTTCGGCCTCTTCAACGTGGCTGTTATGAATCTCTCCGGCAACTGTCTGAGGAGCCTCCCGGAGCGGGTGTTCCAGGGTCTGGGCAAGCTACACAGCCTGCACCTGGAGCACAGCTGCCTGGGCCACATCCGCCTGCACACGTTTGCTGGCCTCTCAGGGCTGCGCAGGCTCTTCCTCAGGGACAACAGCATCTCCAGCATCGAGGAACAGAGCCTGGCAGGGCTCTCGGAGCTCCTGGAGCTCGATCTTACCGCCAACCAGCTCACGCATCTGCCCCGCCAGCTTTTCCAGGGCCTTGGCCAGCTGGAGTATCTGCTTCTCTCGTACAACCAACTGACAGTGTTACCTGAGGATGTCCTGGGCCCTCTGCAGCGGGCCTTCTGGTTGGACGTCTCACACAACCACCTGGAGACACTGACTGAAGGCCTTTTCTCATCTCTGGGGCGGCTTCGCTACCTCAGCCTCAGGAATAACTCCTTGCAGACCTTTTCACCACAGCTTGGCTTGGAGCGTCTGTGGCTTGATGCCAACCCTTGGGACTGCAGCTGTCCCCTCAAGGCACTGCGTGACTTTGCCCTACAGAACCCTGGTGTTGTCCCCCGCTTTGTTCAGACTGTCTGTGAGGGAGACGACTGCCAGCCAGTGTACACCTATAACAACATCACATGTGCCAGCCCCGCCAACGTCTCAGGCCTCGACCTACGGGACATTAGTGAAACACATTTTGTGCACTGCTGACCCTGGCTACTTACCGGTCTGGCCGAACACTGCCTTATGGCCAGGACAGTGTCTCATTGTTACCAGAATAAGCTGGCTCTCAAATACCCATCTCTAGGGGACAGGTCCTGGCTGCTTGCTTCCTGGAAGCAGTGCAGTACTGGAAGCTATGTGGTCTAAAAAGGGTGGGCACAGGCCAAGTGCCAAAGGGCCCAAAGGAGGGGAGGCGCTCGGCAGCACTCCCTGCTGGCAACAATTAAAAGCAAATACGAAGCATAGCTTGTGACCTAGAGTGTGAACTTGGGAAACCTGTCCTTTGTCCCTGCCCCATCTCTCCTGTCTTAGCTCTGCCCAAGCCCAGTCTGAGCCTTGCTGGTGTTGAGAACATGGGTCCCACTTCATTGGGACCGGATCCTGCCCATTTTCTCATGGGCTTATGACCTTTTCCTCCAACCTAGGAACTGCAGGTACTTACCCTGCCCTCTCCTGGCACTACATTGGGCCCAAGTGGGGTTCTCACAGATGTTGTCAGAACACAGGTGTGGAGGTCACCACACCTGGCCACTCTGAGTGCTGGATGGGGGTAGGTGGCAGTTGAGGACTACCATCTGATGGCAACCACCCCCTTGGAACATTCCCCAGGCCCCCAGTCTCCTTTCAAGTCCTCAGCTTTGCCCCAGGAACCATCTACTTTCTTTCCTGACCTTCCTGGGAGGAGGGAGGCCCCGCCTCAGCTCATACTTGAATGCTTAGCTTTCTGTTTCCAGTGTCTCAGCAACGTGCTGGCAGACCCATGGGTTTCTGAAAACACGACATGCCAACTCCATCCTCCAAAACAAGACAGGCCACACCCTCAGGCCCTTTAGATCTTTACTGTTTGTTCCAGCCATGAAAAGTAAGGAATCCAGACCCATCTCACTGAGGACTGAGGGTTTGGATGTTGGGTTCTTCACAAGATGGGGTGGTATGTTTAACAGCAGAGTTCTGTAAAGTTACCAGATGTACCTGTAAACCACACTGTGTCACAAAAGGCTCACACATAGCAAGTGTGGGCACTCAGGGTCAGTCGGGATGAGAAAGCAGTGGCCAGCTCCTGTGTGGTGTGGCTGTCAGAGCAGCCTGTTGACCTGGGGCAGAAGTGACCAGGGCTGGGCAAAAAGCCTACAGACTGGAGGCTAAGGCTACTACTACCTCAAGGAGTTAGGCCCCGAGCTCTCCCCTCTGCTAGAGACTAGTTTGCTGAAACTGGTATCAGCAAACGACACTGGGGCCTGCAGACGATCTCTGCATGGACGTAACTGCATACATAGGCCAACCATTGCCCAGGCCAGCAACTACAGGTCCCAAGACAGTCCTGAGGACCTCTGCTCCCAAAGGTCCTATAGGCTGAGAACAGAGCACACAGCATTAGAGGGCTGTGAGACTGTCAGGAGCGCAGAGCAGGCGTCCCGTGCAGAACTTTCTGAGCTATGGATGTGAGTGCAGAATATGCAATGCTTTTGGGAAATTCCTGGATGAAGTCGCGCCCCTCCTCCAAGCTCTTGGTAAGCTGGGGATCCAGGGGAACAGAACCTGCAATAACAAAAGCCAGGAAAAGGCTGACAAAATGGTTCAGTGGGTAAAGGCTTGCTGCCAAGCGTGATAAGCCAGATTCAGTACCCAGGACCTATATGTTAGGAGATAACTAACCCAATCTGATCTCCCCCATGTACACTGCGCATGTGCATACCCACAACCCTTCCTCAATGCACAAACAAGAGGAGGACCAACGAGAGCCTGCAGCAGGTGAGGAGTGTCAGCCGACCACTGTCAGGACCTCAAGCTTGGCTCCCCATGACCTCCCACTGGGAACAATGTGGGGCAGGTGGCAGGCGCCTGGTGTCTCTGACACTCCCAAAAATGTAGCTGCCCAGAGAAACCTCAGATTAGGCACTTAAACAATAGAGAGGCCCAACACGGCAGTCAGACCCACGGTAGGTGCAAGCTGGGCCCCAGATGACCCTGCTCTTAACACTCACCTAGAAAGGGAACTCCAGCCAGCCGGGCCAGCTCCTCCCCACCGCCGCTGGAGAAGACATTGGTACACTCCTAGAAGACAAGTGATGTGAGGGTCCAACTTGCAGAACCACTCACCATGATGAGACCCCCTTCTCCATGTGATACCCATGGCCAGGGTGAGACCTACAAGTGGCCCAGGGAGAATGCCCAGTAATAGTCTCTATCCACAAAGTTACTTACCTGACACTGGGGACTTGTGGACAAGAGACCTACTTTCTCAAAGTCCCTGACTGCCTAACCTGTCTTGTCCTCCCTCAGGCCTTGAAACTGCCCACCCATCTCCCAAGACTCACAGCGCAGTGCGGGCAGGCGAAGCCGCTCATGTTCTCTATGACGCCTAGCACCTGCAGCCCAGTCTTCTTACAGAAGGTCAGCTCCCGCCTCACATCGCCAACAGACACGGCCTGTGGACCGGTGTGAGGAGGGGTCAGTCAGCCACAGATCAGCCAAGAGCCACGTAGCCAGCAGGGAACACGGCCCACTACAGTCCATTCCAAGCCCAACCAGGGTGGAGACGGAGACACCCCCCACGCCCACAGGGTTGGAGGAGATACCAGCAGTACCTGTGGTGTGGTGACCACAAGAGCCCCAAGGGGCCTGTAGGGGCGCAGGGCTTCCACAGCAGCCATGTGCTCATCAGAAGTCCCTGGAGGCGTGTCCACAACCAGATAGTCCAGCTCCCCCCAGGCCACGTCAGACACAAACTGCTTTATCAGTGCTGCAAAGACCCCCAAAGCCCAGCAGTAATCCCTGAGAAAGGGTTTGGAAAGGGAAGGCCCATCTTGTCCAGCCCAGGATCTACCAGTTGCTTCTGGGCAGCTCCCAGGGTCTCCTGGGAGCGGCCAGCACACAGGGTAGCCAGGACCTACCGATCTCTGAGGTAACGGGGCAGAGCTCCTGGGTTCCCACGGCACTCCTTGCTTTCCAGCAGCCTTACCACCTGCTAGCACTCAGCTGTCTCCACACTCCACCTGGCAGGGCTGTCGCCAACGCCCATGAAGGCCCCAGGTGAGGATGCAACCTTGATTCTCCTAAAAGCTCCTGTGCTCTCAAGCCCAGAGAAAATGCCCTGGCACGAAGCCCTCGACAGCACATCCAGGAGCTACTAGACACTAACTGTGTGTTATTCTTCCTGGGTATCCTCTCTCTGTAACCAGGATGGTTTAATGTTACCTGCTTGAAGCTCAGCACTTGGGTTCACTACACACTGTGGCCTCAGATCCTTGGGTTAAGTGAGGGCGGGTGGGGAGGGGTCTCAGGAGAGCAATCCCTTCCTAACTAGGGAGTGGCTGATGGCTTCACAAGAAATGCCAAACACAGCTTCTCCCTTGATCTTGGTCTCATGTCACACTGTTCATCTAGAGGCTGATACGGTTGTCACAGAAGCTGTGAGAAGCTTCTCAGAAGCACAGGGGTGTATATATTCTGAAGGGTGGGCACGCATGAGAGGCGGAAACATTGAAATGCAACAGAGACTCCAATATCAATACACCAGGACCGGCTTCGGCTCTATCCAAAGGCAGTACGCATGAGAGGAGGGAAAGCAGTCTCAGTAAAGAGGCACTGAGGAGGTGACTGGGGGATTCTCACTAACTTCTTACCATGTTTCTTGGGACCTCTCCACACCACGGCCTCATCAGGGTTTTCCAGCAGGAAGCCCACAGACATAAGGGAGATGCTCTGCTCCTGATCCACAAAGACAGGCACCCAGCCATTGTCACACTGGTGCACTGCCTTGCCTTGTGCACGGAGCATGTGTGGTATGCTGGGACCGCACAGATCCACATCTAGGATCCCCACCTGCAAGGAGGAGGATGCTGAGGGGTGGAGAGAAGCCTGTCAAGCTTGTTGGGAGCTAGGGACAATAGTGAAAAACGTGTCAACTCTGGTCGGGGCCTCACCTTCTTGCCCTGGTGGCGCAGCGCCAGGGCCAACTCCGTGGAGATGGTGCTTTTCCCAACGCCCCCCTTTCCAGAAAGGACAAGGATGATATGTCGCACGCCGGCCAGGTTTCCGGGCTCTGGTGAGAAACAGGAGTTGGGGTTTCCGGGAGAGCGACAAAGACAAAGGCACCAGGGTAGGTCTTCTAGAAGCCCCAGATCTGTCTCGGTCTCACTTGTCTGAAGTGCACATGTGAACGCTCACTTGTTATAGATCTTCAAACTACCAGCTAATGTCAACAGACACAGAGGAAACTAAGAGAGTAGTTTATCACAGCTACGCGACACCTGCGCACAAATGCACAGACTCCACACTAGAGACTGCAGAGGGTTTCCAGTCCTCTGAACGGTGTGAGGCTGAGGACCCAGAGCAGCTGTAACCGCCTATGCAAGCATCCGCGTCACTCGGCTGGCTCAGGAAACAAGGGGACATGGGATGCTTTGGCGTGGGCCTGCACTAGGTTCGCCTTCGGACATCCCCAACCCCTCAAGCTTGGCCAACCCGCACGCTCACCTGCAGCCGCCTCCATTCCGCTACTATCTGCTTTTCGCGGCTCTCTTCCGCTTCCTTTCCAAACTTTCGCAGTTTTTGAACCAATGGCGACAAGAGCCCACCCCTTACTCATTTTGAGAGGTTAGTCACTCATCCTTCAGCCAATCAGATCACCCAAAGAGGTCCCGATCCTGGCAACTGATGATGACGCCATGGGCACGACATACTTCCGCATACTTGTCCAATGGTCATGCGAAAATTTTTTTGACCACTCTAGTGGGGACCAATAGGAACTTTGGTCCAGGATTGGCAGGTTGTGCAAGCCTCTTGACAGCAGTCCTGTCTCGCGAGACCCGCCCCCGCGCGGAGCTGCTGGAGAGCCCGCCTTCGGCTGCCGGGCCAATGCAGCGCGGGGGCGGGGATTGTTTGCGTCGCGGCCGGAACGGAAAGTGGGTCAGCGCCGGCGGAGCGCGTTGGCCGCAGGTGAGCCGCGCCGGCCCAGCCCGGCCAGGCCCGGCGGGCGGCAGGTTGACCTTGCAGGCGGTCAAACCCGCCACCCGTTGTTCCCTGGCGGTGGCGCTCGGGAGTCTGGGCGGGGGTCTCGGAGCCAGACGCCACGGACCGCATCGCCGTAGCGAGATTCGCGAGCCTCTGGCGAGGGAAGCAACCTCCAGCCCCGCGGAGGGCGAGCGTGGCCACGTCCAGGGACATCTCTGGTTCATTCATTGGGTTCCTACTGTGTGCTCTTATACGGCACTCAGCCAGCCCAACTGCTGTGGAGTGCTGTGCGCGGCCCCGCTCGGCTTCTTTGTGGATGGCCGGGGTGAGGTAGGGTAGTACAGTGCGTCTACAGGGGACAGGAGGCAGTTAGGACAGAGTCGACTATTACACCAAGACAATCTACTTAGGAGAGGAGATTCAGACCTCCCAAGGCCTTTCATTTTGTCCCAAGAACGACGTCAAGCCCGTGAGTTTAAGGTTGTATCAAAGACCGAGTTTGTAGTGTGCGGGGCGGGATGAGTGAGAGGGAGTTGTGTGGTTCAGGAAGCGGTGGGTCTCCAACAACAAGAAGGGGTGTCAGGAGTGGATGACAGCTGTGTTTCTGGCATGAGGAACTGGATGCTGGGGATGCCATCTGCCAAAGTGGACAGCGGAGGAGGAGCAAGTTAAGTGTCAAATGCCTGAGGGGCAGCAGCTCCTGAACGGAATGCAGAGATGGGCTGGGGCACCTCCAGAGTCATGGGTGTATGGGTTGTGTTTCATACTGTCGCCCTGGGCTTGATTGAGGTGCTCAGGTACTGGAGCCAGGTATGAGCTTTTGGGAGTTTCTGGAGCTCAGTGTTAAGGGCCCCGGAGGCCCCATCCTTTGGTGGATCTATGGCATAGGCTGCCAGGTAGAAGTGCCAGGGGGCAGAGTTGTGGGGTGTGGGTTTGGGCCTTGTTTGGTTATTGACACATTACATGTCTTTAAGGTTACAATTATTTTTTTCTAGGTCCTCTCCACTATGGCCCGGCGTGCACGGAGTAGCAGGGCATGGCACTTTGTCCTGAGTGCAGCCCGCCGGGATACAGATGCCCGAGCTGTGGCTCTGGCTGGCAACTCTAACTGGGGCTATGACTCTGATGGGCAGGTAGGTCTCAGTGGCAAAGTGGGGATACCAGTGTATGGGGTAAAAAAGACACTAAGCCAGGCAACTGAACTGCCTCCTGGTATATGGTACTTGGAAGGGCTCTTTGATCTGGTAAAGAACATCTAGCCTGAGGTGTGACACTCAATACAGAGACAGGGATCTGACATCCTGGATGGTGCTGTTTACTATACAATGCCTGTTCACCAGCCCGGCCAATTTTTGTTGTATTATTGTGTGCCACAGTGACTGGGTGGATGTCAGGACCCTTGTGTGGGTATGCGTTCTATCTTCCACCTTTATTTGGTATATGGGGACTCAAACTTAGGTTGTCCTTGATGCATACACACACACACACACACACACACACACACACACACACACACACACTCTGAACCATTTTGATCACCCTGGATGTTTCCTTTGCCACACATATACTGTATTTCATGTATGTTGTATATGATAGGATCTGTGATAATTTTTTTTTGGGTTTTTGAGTCAGGGTTTCTCTGTGTAGTCCCGGCTGGCTTTGAACTCACATCTTCCTGCAACTGCCTCCCAAGTGCTGGGATCAAAGGCATGTGTCACTATCTCTGCCGGTTTTTATTTTCAGAAATGGTCTCACACTGTAACAGAGGCAGGCCTTGGACTTGAGGCATTTTATTGTGTTTGGGCATACAGGTGCTGTGATGAACATGTGGAGGTCAGAACTTGCCGGAGTCATGTTCTCTACCATGTGACACTTAGGGTCCTCAGCAAATGCCTTTTCTTTGTAATGTTTATAGTTCTTGAAGTTTAAATGTCCCAAGACTTCCTTTGTTGGAGACTCTGAGCTCGGAGAGGCCCAGGAGTGCAGGCACAGGGTGGATACCCAGCGTCATGTGCCTGACTGGGTTCTCGGATGTGACTGCTGACTTGCCTTGCTGATATCAGACTGGTATTCTGGCCCTGCCCTATATTGCCTCTACTCTGATGTCATAGCTCTCTGTAACAGGTCTAGGGTTGGGGTTATGATTAGGGTCCTTTCTAGAAGCTCATAGGATCACCAGACTGTGAGGAAAGTGATTTACTGACTAGGTCAGCAGTGCCCCAGGCCCTTCTTGGGGTCTTTTGAGGTTAAATGTTAGCCCAATTTTTCAGCTACACTTCCAGTTCCTAATGACAATGCACCTGAAACAGCCTATATGCCTGTTCCTGCCTCACAGTCATCACAGTGACACACACATGCCTGTCTTCCATCATGTAATAAGCTTGCCATGTAGTCATGTGGCAGGCAGTTGTGGGTGTTCCTGGGCCCAGGTTGGGTTGAGCAGCATCTGCCCTTCCTCCTGTCCTAGGCAGATTGGCTCCTTATTCAGTGGATCTGCCTTGGCTTTAGAAGATCCCATCTTTGCCAATGGGGTACAAGGTCTGCTTTGAGGTATGAGGCTTTCCACCACGAAAAGTAGCTGGTCTATTTGGCTTCTGAGTGGCCTAAGTTGCTAACCAAACATTCAGTCTGGCTCCTTGTGGGTTACATTCCCCTATTCCAGCACACAGGACCCAGAATTGTGTCAGCGCCCTATTGCTGGACATTTCCTCACCTGCTCATGATATTGTACATCCACGATGATAGTTCTCTATCTCTAGATGATTTGGGGCCCTCCCTGAGGAGCTGGTGATCTTGCAAAAGCAGAGACCAGGATGGTGGAGACCCTGAGTATTGTGAAGACAAATACAGGGTGAATGTGGTCCAAGATCCTCTTGGTAGCTGAATGCTTCCTTGTAGAGAAGTGCAGTGAGTGCCCTGCTTATAGCAGGATGACTTTGTGACTGCAAATAGATCTAATTCTGGGTCGGAGGGTTAGAACTGTGATGTGGTTGCCATTATAGGGGGGTTCTGGATCACTGTGTGGGGCACAGCAGGGCAGCTCAAGGAGGTAGAGGCCAAAGCTTCAGGGACCATCAGGTTAGCTAGCCTGAACCCTAGCACCAAAACAGGGATCCAAGGCTCTGCAGAGCGTCTGAATAGCAATAAAGTTGATTGGTCAGTCAGTAGTTGAAACTTGACCAGCTCAGCTTTCTTTACACCCCCAACCAGGCTCTGAGGCCTGAGAGCCCAAGCCACAAGGACTGCATCTTTGGAGGAGTTTGCTGCAGCTGAGGCTTGAAGCAGCTGCATTAGCCCATTTGACCTCATTAAGCATCCTTCCTCTTCTTGATTCCAGTGACCTTGGAGACATCCCAAGGCTTAGTTAGGTCTTAGGCTCTGTGGAGCCAGATGCTAGACCTTGATGACAGCACCAGCCCTGTGGTTTAGGAGACCTTGAGCTACCTAGAGAAGACAGCAGGTGGGTGCTGAGTGGCCTATGGCAACTAGGGCTTCTGTGTGGCAATGCAGAGGGCTATATTGAGTTCCAGAGATCCATTAAGAAGCCAAGTAAGAAGTCACTCCTCCAGGACCACCTCCCATCTCATTGTTGTCTCTCAGGCTGGGAGTCTTAGCACTCAAGTTGTTTATGTTGAGTATTGGAGAACCACAGGTGTCTAGATTCTTACCTGGTGGATTTGAGAAGGGGTTGGGTAGCCTGGCAAAGGGAGAGCTGTCATAAAACAGGACAACCTGCCCCTTCCCTCCCAGCATAGTGACTCCGACTCTGACCCTGAGTACTCTTCCCTGCCACCATCCATCCCCAGTGCTGTGCCTGTGACAGGAGAGTCCTTCTGTGACTGTGAGGGCCAGAACGAGGCTACCTTCTGCAACAGTCTACACACAACACACCGTGGCAAGGACTGCCGCTGTGGTGAGGAGGATGAGGGTGAGTGTCTTGCCACTGAGACATGTGGAGGGCTGGGCAGGTTCTCTGGGACCAGGAAGGCACCTCTTTGCTATAGCCCTCCCTAGTTTGGGCCCTCTGTCTTAACAGATTTTGACTGGGTCTGGGATGACCTGAACAAGTCCTCAGCCACCTTGCTGAGCTGTGACAATCGCAAGGTCAGCTTTCACATGGAGTATAGCTGTGGCACTGCAGCCATTCGGGGCACCAAGGAGCTAGGGGATGGCCAACACTTCTGGGAAATCAAGATGACCTCTCCTGTGTATGGCACTGACATGGTAAATGGCCAAGCAAGAGGGTAGGTGCCACGGGCCTTGCCACTAGGCACCTAACTGTCCAGCCCCACTGTTTGCAGATGGTGGGCATTGGGACATCAGATGTTGATCTGGACAAGTACCACCACACGTTCTGCAGCCTGCTTGGCAGGGATGAAGACAGCTGGGGGCTCTCCTACACTGGTGGGTGTTGCCTGGGTTACAGGTGGGCCTGGCAGTGCCACAGACCTTCCAGGCTTACCCCTCTGCTCCTTACAGGGCTCCTTCACCACAAAGGTGACAAGACAAGCTTCTCTTCACGCTTCGGCCAGGGCTCGATTATTGGTGTACACTTGGATACCTGGCATGGAACACTGACCTTTTTCAAGAACAGGAAGTGCATAGGTGAGGATGTCTTTGCGGAGCCTTTAGGGGTGGGACCAGGCAGTCTGACTTGAGGCTCCTGAGGGTGGGTAGGCAGGGCCGAAGCCAGGTTGGGGTTACCTGGCCAGACCAGAGTCTGTCTTCTGTGTTTACACAAGTTGAGCTGCTCACCTTGGTACATTGTAGGAGGAGCTTTCTGGCTCCCAACCTACATGGCACTCAGGTTGAGCCTTCCTTCCAGGAGTGGCTGCTACTCGGCTTCAAAACAGAAGGTTCTACCCGATGGTTTGCTCAACAGCTGCCAAGAGCAGCATGAAAGTCATCCGCTCCTGTGCCAGCTCCACATCCCTGCAATACCTGTGCTGCTACCGCCTGCGCCAACTGCGGCCAAACTCAGGGGACACCCTTGAGGGCCTGCCCTTGCCACCTGGCCTCAAGCAAGTGCTGCATAACAAGCTGGGCTGGGTCCTGAGCATGAACTGCAACCACTGGAAATCCCCCGTTCCCCCTCCTGGCACAGCTACACCTGGTGCTGAGAGTCTTGAGACCAGGCCCTGTCAGAGGAAGCGCTGCCGAAGAAGCTGACTTCTCTCTCCCTGGGAATGCAGATACCTTTCTTTCTTGCCCTTCCAGGGCAGCAGGAGAGGGAAGAGCTGAGGTCTAGGCTTTCCCTATCTCCCCGAGGCCAGGCCAGTCTCTCTGTTGGCCATGGAGTATGAAGGCCATCCTATTGCCTGTGCTGGCAGCGAAGCAGTGCTCCTGCTCGTCTTGGGAACTGTAGCTAGGCACTTGTGGACCTAGATGCCAAGCCTGGGAGGCTCCTGACGAAGGGGAGTACATTCATATCCCAGGGAAAAGATGGGCTGTCCCGACCCACAGGGCCTTGGGGTTTTCCTGACTTGCATTGCATGTTGTTAGCTCCTGCTCCTGTTACAGAGATGTCAGCGGATGCCTGTGAAGGGTTTTTGTCTCGTCCCCAGAGGTTATATCATTAAAAGAGCCCTCACAAACGCCCAAGCTGCCTTGTCTATTGTTTACCTTCTGTCTCTGTCCGGCAGCTTAGAGACGGATCATTGAGTACTTCTCCCTGAGGGTGTACCCTAAACTTCCAGACAGCATGAGGCTGTAATAGCACAACTAGGCACTCAGACCCCCTACTAAGCTCCTGCAACAAGTGTCCAGGCAAAGGCAAGTTGAGACCCCAGTTGCCCTAGGGCTCTTGTGGCCACTACCCTCCACTCCTCTGTTCACCTCCGCTTCCCTTACCCTCCCCCACCTCCCATGGTGCTTCCACTTGGCCATCAGGCAACAGAGTATACCCCAGTCTGAAAAAGGTATGGGCTGGACCCAAACATCCTTGCCTGCCCCTCAGGGTAATTAGACTCTTGGGCGGGCCTGTCCTGTTGTGCTGATGGGCAGGAGGTGACCCAAGGATGGCATAGGTGTGGTCAAGAGCTCAGGTCCAGCAGGAGGTCTGGGTTGGTGGTGGTCAAGAAGATACAGATTCTGCGTGAGAGGTCAGGCCCCACTCTGCGAGGCTGCTTGCCCCTGTGGGCCTTCACAGGGAGGTCAGCTAGGAGGCTCAGGCGTTCCTGCTCCGTGCTACAGTCCAGTAGAGCCTAGAATGGGCACAAGTGTGAGGAGGTGGAGCAGACGTCCTGATCCTGGAAGAGGGGTCTAGGGGACTCACCTGTTGCAAAAGGCGGGGTGAGGGGAAGGCAGTAACAACAGCGTCAGCTACAGCTGGGCTGACCCTGTTGAACTGTCTGATTTGCCGCCACCACACTCCTCTGAGCCCGGAGCCATCTCTGGTCACTTGCTGGCCTGAGGCCCAATGGCCTGCTGTGCAGAAAGAAAAGGCCTGGGAGTCCCGGAACTGCCTGAAATGGAGACACCCAAACAGAAGCTTTGAGAACACCATCTGTGCAGTCCTCCAACCCTGCCTGTCTCCACTCAGTCCCTGCAGAGTTACATACTTGGAGGGGAGCTGGGAGAGGGCCTTGGTGAAGGCGCACACATACTGACTCAGCTCCTGCCATGAGGCCACCAGCAGCACATCCAGGTTTGCACGGAGCTGAAGCAGCACCAGGGCCTGGGGAGTGTGAGAGTGGGCATGGGCCACATGTCCTCGGGGGAGCCCCGGTTCTGACAGGCCAGACTGCAGGCCAAGAGCAGAGACTAAGGCATCTGACAACTCAGCAGCAGCCCTCACCTCCTCCACCTCGGGCCAGCTGATAGCTTCCCTGGCATGGGCTTCCTGTGACTTCTTTAGTTGCCATGTCTTCTGAGAACTGGGCTGGTGAGACCTGAAGAGAGGGGACAATCTTTTGGGCTCCCAAGTTTCTTAACTTTGCAGAGCCGACCCAGGCCAAGTGGGGTCAGCTGTGACAGAGCCACTAGAGGCAATCTGCTTTCCTAGAATTCCACCCAAGCCAGCCCTACTGAGGTTGTTAAGTGGTACCACAGGTATGCATCCAATCCAATGACAGCCAGGTGGGAACGGGTGAGACTCTTGGGAGACAGCCAGGGGATGGAGCAAGGTGGGTCTGTGATCTGAAAGCAAGAATATCCACACACTTGTTCACAGGAGGGCTTTGGCGGCAGGCCCACAGCCACCAGTACAGTCAGTTTCCAGAGGGAGGAGGAACTGAGTGACGCTTATAGGTCCTCTCTGTTTCCTGGTAATCAGCTCTGCAGGCCCAGGAGTACATACACACTCAGGTTTTGGTGCAGAAGTGAACCAGCCCCTTCTGTTCATTTCTACACCCAGCCTGGACATTGGCAGTAGCCAGCAGGTTTCCGACAGATGTTGGCCCTTGGACATCGACACCCACCCACAAAGTGTTTAGCAGAACTGTGCTCCACACAGATATCAGTTAGCATTGATTCCTTTTAGTCTTGGGAATATAAGCAGCCAAGTGGGGGATTCTTAGCTTTTGTAGACAGATCCCACAGCCAGCGCCTACATCACATGGACACCATCAACTAGAATTCTCCGTTCCTCCTCCCCCCCCACCCCCCCACCCCCCGTTTGCAGTCAGGTCACTATTCTCGGTTCTTCAATGCTCGTACATCTAGAGCACTCAGCAGGTTTCCTTATCTTACCCTCAACACCTTCAAGATCCTCAACGGAAGCTCCAGCCCATTTTGGACTGGGGAACAAGACCTACCAAATGAAGACAGGTCTTTACCCCAATACCTGGGTCAGCTGCACGGCACCCTGAAGAAATTCCTGAGGTTCCAGCAGCAGCAACTGTTCCTGTTCATTTTCAGGATTCGCCTCCAGAGGCACCTGTAGGGGATATCACTTGCCCTGCTAACCACCTGTGCAGGGCCCAGGGCTTCTCCCCGTGCTGGTCAGTCAGTCATCAGACACTGTCAATAACCCTCCAGCTCTGCACATAGTGAAGTTCAGGCCAGCTTAGTACTGTTCTCTAGAAGTTCCAGAATACAAAACTAGCCCAACCCCCATCCTCATTGCCAGCAGAAGGTTCTCTGGCAGCAGCCGAGTTCAGGTTTCTTGTGTTAAGAAATTCGACTTAAGGCATCCTCCAGTTTTTAGGTTATTCCTGTGCGAGGCGAGAAAGATGCATACAGCTCCCCCGCTAGCCAGAGGAAAAGTGAAACATGGATTAGAACTGACACTGGGCTGGTCATAGGGAGACACTCACATTGCTGGGCGCCGGGTCGGGCCTCACAACGTTCCACTGCAGGCTACGTGCCTGGTGCTGCGGCTCGATGCGGCATTCACAGCCTAGCGTGGCCAGCGCCTCCATCAGGATGTCGGAGCCTGCATCTTCCAGGACAGCTGGGCCCAACAGGCAACAATGCGGTTATTCCACCATCTCCAGTGCGGACTAGTGGGTGAAGATGCTACCCTGTCGGGTGGCTGGCCCCAGATTCCCAGCCCCTTTCCCCTCACCTGGGTCCACGCACACCACCAGACGCCCCAGAACCTGATCTGCCCGTAAAGCCTTGGCCGCAGCTCTGCGCTCTCCTACTGTACTCGGGGCTTGGGTGTCGACCTCCCTAGCGGGGGCACCTTCGGCGTCTGAGTCGGAAATCTCCCAGGTTTGAGGTCGCCGATGGCCGAGGCGCAGGCCCGGGCCACGACCGCGACGCGAGCCCGTGGCTGTCCCGGGGTCTACCTCAGCCATAAGCTCATCGTTCCTAAAGCTTCCGGACGTACCCGGATGCTTTTGTTCAGGACACCGGCCGCTTCCGGAACGGGAGAGCTAGTGAAGCGCAGGTTTCCTGTGGAGTAAGGACACAGGCATGGCGCGCAAGAAGGTGAGACCCCGGCTGATCGCTGAGCTGGCCCGCCGTGTGCGCGCCTTGCGCGAGCAGCGGAACCAGCCTCGAGACTCGCAGCTTTACGCCCTAGACTACGAGACGCTGACCCGGCCGCACTCGGGTCGCCGGCTGCCGGTGCGCGCCTGGGCCGACGTGCGTCGCGAGAGCCGCCTCCTGCAGCTGCTCGCCCGCCTCCCCTTGTTCGGCCTGGGCCGTCTGGTTACCCGCAAGTCCTGGCTGTGGCAGCACGACGAACCATGCTACTGGCGCCTCACGCGTGTGAGGCCCGACTACACGGCGCAGGTGCGCTCGCTCCCTGTACTGCTCGTTCTTGTATACACTTTCATCTTGCCCACCCTGGACTACATCGGCTGGTTCTACCCACCCTGAACCACCTGGGCCTGTCTGTCTCCCTTACGCTCGTAACTTAGTGGCAGGGGCTCTGTGCTGACAATCCTTCCTCTTGTTCTGCAGAACTTGGACCACGGGAGGGCCTGGGGCATCCTGACTTTCAAAGGTAAGGCTAGGTGCTGGTTGGAGCCGGTGATGGTTCGCATATCACCCAGCCAGCAGGCAGTCAACTTGTCTTCTTTCCTTCAGGGAAGAGTGAGGATGAGGCTCGGGAAATCGAGCAAGTCATGTACCACGATTGGCGGTTGGTACCCAAGCACGAGGAGGAGGCCTTCACTGCGTTCACTGCGAAACCAGAAGACAAACTGAACCCAGTCCCCTACCCACCTCTGCTGCGGGCCATGATCCTTGCTGAACGACAGAAAAACGGGGACACCAGCGTCCAGGAGCCGCTCCTGAACTTGGAGAGGACTCGAATGCGACCCTGGGACTACCCTGCAAAACAGGAGATGAAAGGGAAGGCCAAGGGCACCCCAGTCTAACTGCCAGGATTGCCATAGAGGGCCTGTGAGTCATTTGATGGACAAGTGTCTTTGACTGTGCTAGATCTCCACTTTGGTGGCGAGTTATACTCTACAGCCCTGACACATCTGCCAATGAATAATGGGGCAGATGACAGGCTGCTGGTTGTCATTTTCAGGCGGCCCCTCGCCGATTCCTCGGTCTGCAAATAAACTCAGGAAGCGGCCTGTGTTGTGGTTTCATTACGCGTGTACTGCAGGACAAGGGAGGGAAGGTGACTGTATGGAGCAGGGTGCCTGGTGCTCCAGTACACTCAGGCAGGTCTTGGGCGCTGTGACGGCGCTTTGGGCTCAAATGTGCTGGGACTGCAGGGCCCCAGGAGAGCCCGCGCCCAGAGGTCCTTTAAGGGAGGCCCCTCCCCCTTGCCGCTTGGCCCGCCCCATCCGCCGCCATGATCTGTCTGGTGCTGACCATCTTCGCCAACCTCTTCCCCTCAGGTGAGCACCCAGGCGGGGCGGGGCGGGGCCGAGCAGGGGGCGCTCGGTGGGGCTCGCCTGAAGTCAGTACTCCCGCAGCCTACAGCGGCGTGAACGAGCGCACGTTCTTGGCAGTGAAGCCCGACGGCGTGCAGCGGCGGCTGGTGGGCGAGATCGTGCGTCGTTTTGAGAGGAAGGGCTTCAAGCTGGTAGCACTGAAGCTAGTGCAGGTGTGGACGCACAAAGGAGCAGGCGGATCCGGGAAGGGAATCCGGGCGGGTCTGGGGTTGGGGCCCTGGTACAGGTCGCTACCCCTCCCCCTAGGCCTCCGAAGAGCTACTGCGGGAGCATTATGTCGAGCTGCGCGAGAGACCCTTCTACAGCCGACTAGTTAAATACATGAGCTCTGGCCCCGTGGTGGCCATGGTAAGTTTCCGATGACCTGCAAGGAGAGGGCAAGGCCTTGGGAGCTCTTATCTTGCTGACAGCAGCCCCTGCAGGTGTGGCAAGGCCTGGATGTCGTGCGTGCTTCGCGGGCCCTCATTGGGGCCACTGACCCAGGGGACGCCATACCGGGTACGATCCGTGGGGATTTCTGCGTGGAAGTTGGCAAGTAAGTCTTATCATCCACCCTGGCTACCCCTCATCCTTCTCCTCCCCCTGCTCACTTGCCATTCCCGCACAGGAATGTGATTCATGGCAGCGATTCGGTGGAAAGTGCTCACAGAGAGATTGCTCTCTGGTTCCGTGAGGATGAGCTGCTGTGTTGGGAGGACAGCGCCGGACACTGGCTCTATGAGTAGATGTTACTGAAGTCAGCATTACCAATCTGGAGGTTGTTGGTCTTCTGTGATCTTCACAGAGCTCAGCAGCAGTGACAGTGCTGTGTGGGTGCAGGTCCACCCAACCTAGTCTGTCCAGGAACAACCACTCCCATATCCCACCTGTATTTCCTTTCATAATAAACTGCAGAAAACCCTTGTGCGCTGGTGCAGTTTCAAGACAAAAGTAGTGTTAAGACATTTATTACATACAGAGCAGATATGTGAGTTCACTTGCAAGGCCAAAGCCTGAGGAGAGTTGCACTGGCCCCTCCCTCCAGTTGCACCCACCCAGCTAACCCCAGTCACTTCACACTCCTGTGGGAACGGACAAGGGACATACATCACAGTGGAGAGGTGGCAGGGTGGTGGGGAGAAGCCTGCAGCGGTACATGGCTGCAGCTTGTTGTGGCCAGATAGGCTCAGGGGCAGTGCCCCGATCTGTGCTTCTCTGGTGGGAAGAGTGCAGTGGAGGCCAACTGACTCTCCTCAGTGCCCTGAAGAGTAAGGCCAGGGCCAGGGCAGAACCCGCTTCCACACACTTGCTTAGAGTTGTGCCCCTCCTGGCCGGTCCTCAGCTCTTCTGGCCTCTGCCTGGAAGCCTCTTGTCAGTTGCTCTCCAAGGGAGCAGGCCACAGCCCGCAGCCCTAGGCACTTAGTACGTGTCCGGGAGCTAGGCTCCCTTGGAGCCCTGTGCAGGAGGCAGGCCTTTGGAGCACACCATCCTCCATTAACCTGAGGCTAAGCCTGCATCCTAGGACTGACTCTGGGGAGACCAGGGCCACCCTTCTTCCTGAGGCCTGTGCCTGCCCTGGCAGCCTGAGAAATTCTACCCTTGGGGCTTCTGGGAGGGGCAGGGCACTAGGGTCTTGCTCCTCTAAGGTGAATCTTGTGCCCAGGAAGAGCCTAGGGGACACTGGTCTGTGAGGGGTAGACAATCTTGGGCTCCCCTGGGTTACTGGATATTTGTCATCTTTTGAAGCCGCTGCCCTAGGGAGGCTGGCCCTGAGCGTTCATGCCAGGTTCCTAGGTTAAGACCCAGGGTGGGGGCCAAGGGAATGTAAGTGTGGAGATGGGGAAAGCCCAGAGAAGGCTGGCTGGGGCCCAGGAATCAGGGCAGCCCTAACATTGCTTCTGGGCAGAGGATGGTGGCTAGGCCTGGGTCCCTCAGAGAGAGCAAAGGGTTGGAAATCAAGAATCCCTTCCTCAGGGCTGCATGCAAAGCAAGTAGACTTGGAGAAGACTGGCGGTATGAGGCTCTTGCTCCTGCCAGGACTGGTGAGGATGGAGTGGAGCCAGGGCCACCTGTAGGGGCTTCCTATAGCCATTTTGGTCCTGCCTTGCCCTGAGGGTCCCCTGGGACTTCACACTGGGCTGGGTGTTGGGCCAAGGCCAGTGGCTACTGGAGAGAGTGTCTCAGAGGCTCTCTCCTCCCTGATGGGAAAGACATCTGTTCCTGCCTCACTCCCCAAACCCTGCTTCACCCCTCTCTAACAGCTGGGGGCTGGACCTCAGGCAAAAGCTGCAAGTTGAGAGGTTAAAAGGGGATGGACGAACCTGGCTGCCCCAGGGAACAGGCAGGGGGACAGGCAGGTAGGGTCCTATGTACAGTTGGCATCAGGCAGGACAGGGTCTCACTCAGGGGTGTAGGACACCTGCCACACGATGATGTGGCTGCGCTCAGCCTTGGACAACGAGGGCTTTGTCTGGTTCACATCCCCGGCACCTTCTTCAGTTTCATCATCCTCTCCATCTCCTGGAGAATTGGCAGCCATGAAGAGGACTCCCACATGTCCACACCAGGGTCTACCTCTAGTCTATGCCTACTTACCAATGCGGAAGTCAATGTAACCTTCACCACCACTCAGCACCAGTGCATTCTTCAACTTCTGGCCCTCGGCATCTGCAGTGGGTGCAGCAGGCCCAGGGCCCTCTGAGGGGCTGTCTAGCACACTGCCATTGAGAGTGGCCAGCACATTTCCTGTCATGGGCAGAGGAATCAGGACTGTGGCATCCTAAAAAAATCATAGCTACTGTAGCACAGTGGGCAAAGTGGGTTAAGATCAACCGTGTACCTGGCACAGAGACAAAGAATTTAACAGCATCACGGTGCCCGTGGAAGCAGAGCTGAGCTTGAGCCATGGAGCAGTAGGGGATGAAACTACTGGCAGCCTTGTCACTGCTGTCATCCCCATACACATGGATGACCCCCCCTGGGCGGGTTCCCTCCCCAGACGTTGGCGATGTCTTGTTGGCTGGGAAAACAGGGACAGGAGGATTGGGCCATTTTATTTCTGCAGGCAGCTAGAGATGGTGAGTACTGGGGGCATGACTGGGCAAGTACCCAGCACTTACCTCGGAGCCCTAAGAGCTGGCCTCGATGCAGGACCACAGCTGGGGAAGAGAGAGAAAGGAAGGCTGAGCTTGCCAGACAGCAGCTCCCAGCGTATCTATTCTGGGAACCCTTACGCAGCTGCTGCTTTCTTGACAGATGTCCTCTAGGGTTGGGGACTTACTCTCAGTTAAGGGGATGGAGATGACAACCCCATTGCCAGTGCCCACCCACAGGCGGTTGCCTGCAATGAGTAGGGCTGTGATGCGCACGAAGGAGAAGCCCAGCTTGCCGGTACCTGGGTGGGACAGGAAGAGGGGTCAGTGCAGTCAGTGATGGGTGCTTTTGCTGGCACACCCCCTAACATGGCATCTTTATTTAATTTGTATTGAGGTAGGCCCTCATATAGCCAAAGGTTGACTCAAACTTGACTATGGAGCCGAAGATGAACCTCCTGCTTCTACCTCCCAAGTGCTGAGATTATAGGCATGTGCCACCATGCCTGACTCACCCAGCATCTTGCTAACATAGGGCTCAATGTCCACATCCTGCAGGTGCTGGTGGGTGTGGGCATGGTAGAGCCGAAGGGTAGAATCCAAGCGAATAGAGACCCACACTCCATCCCCGATCCAGGCCAGCTGCCGTACTTGGCTTTCCCGCCTTGGGTGGGCATCGAATGATTTCTGTGAGGTAAGGGCAGCCAGTCAACAGGGGTGGGTAATGGAAAAGTAAGGGATCTGTGGTTGTTGTGATCTGATGCAGGTTCCACCTTAATGACACACAGCCTGTCCCAATCTCCAATCTAGCAAAAGCCCTACCCCACTCTGGAGGTTATTGGCTAGCACTTGCCTCAATCTGCATTGTCTTGGGCTGGATGACATGCACCTTGTTCTTGTAGCCACACCAAACTCGGTCATCCACAACAGCCATGCAGCGGATGGAGTGGTGTGGGTGGCCCAGGTCCATTAGGTGGTAGTTGCTCAGGTCCCACTGGCCATCTAGAAAGACCCCAAGACACCTGTTCAGGTCTGCCTAGGATCTATCTCTGCTCACAGGGTTGGTGTGGAGGACCCATTGCTAGGCTCAGGATAGACCCAAGAACCCCCTAGTCCTGTCTCTGCAAGGGCCACTAGGCCTTACCCTCTCCACGATGGAAAATAGCCAGGGTCCCGTCTGCAAGAGCTACCAGCACTCGGCCTTTGACATGCCTAGAATGGTAAGTCAGTGAGGTAGGATGAGGTTGCTGGGCCCTTGGGTCCCTAACCCCACCCCCCTCAGTGGGGGCCACATACACCAGGCTCAGCACAGAGTCTTTTAGCTTGATGGAGTGGAGACACTTCTTCCAGTTGGCTACCGCTGAATGCACGTAGAGCCTGCAAGAGGGCAGGTAGGCAGAGCTTACATGGTTCAACAAACCCTTCCAGCACATCCCATGTCTTGTGTCTTTGGCTTTACCTACCAGCCATTCTGGGCTCCTAGCCACATGGTAGGTGCAGCACTACTGGTAGTTGCTGAGGGCTCCCCACTGGGCTCCACCTGAGGCTGTACAATGCTGCCATCAGACTCTGACCCATTTTCACTGCAAGAAGAATGGTAGCTGAGGCTGCAGAGTAGGTCACAGAAGCATATGCTGATCCCTGTTCACCTCACCATCTTTCCCTCCACTCATCTGACACAACCTAAGAGAGCCTACCTGGCAGGCTGGGTGCTAGAGGATGGGGTGGGTGCTGGGTCAGTAAAGACATGCTCTGTGAGGGGCCCAGGCCGGACTGTTGTTGCTTCTGACTCGCTGGGACCAGGTTCTGGGACCTCTGTGGCTTCTGTGGCTTCTTCTGTGGATTGGGATGGGTTGACCTTCCCATTGGAAGTGGCTGCCACATCCCCTGTGGAAAGAGGAGTAAGCCTGGCAAAGTGGAGGAAGAGGAATGTGGGGATAGGGAGAAGATGATCTAGAACTCACCCTGCCCCTTGTCCAGTACTGGGGTGTCTCCTCGGGAGGAACAGTTGCTTCGTGGGACATTGCAGCGGGTAGCACACCCCACCAGGGTGATGCCAGCCAGCACACCATCAGCTCCTGAGTCTTCAGGGTTCATATCACTGTCTAGGAACATCTCCCCAGGGGGATAGTCACTGTCGCTGGCAGCTGGGGGAAAGATTTCCAGTGTATCAGTCCAACATGACAAAGCTCCATCTCCGTGAAGGAAGGGGAGACAGGAATTGCCTACATAGCTGGCTCTGCTCTCAGCCAGCCTAGTCACACACAGCTTGCCTGAGACTCTCAGCCTAGGGTCAAGCACAGGTCAAAAAGAGACTACAGAGTGATGTTCTGCTCTATCATATGAAAGATCCTGAAGACTCCGAGGAGTAGAGGCTATCCCAGCAAATAGGTTTCAAGGAATAGAGGCTATCTCAGCAAATAGGTTTCAAAGCAGAGACATGTAGGGCTCTTAGCACTATTCTGGGGCTGGGTGAAAAGATCATGAGGCTGCTGCTAAGGGGTGAAGCCAGGACCTTTGCCAGTACCCTGGAGAGCGTCCTCCTGGACACATGAAGTAAGATATACTCACATTCCTAGCAGGTCTCCAATCCCTACTTATTCGATATGTCCTACCTGGCTGAAAAGGAAGAGCTACCCGCCTCGAGCACCAGCTTTGCAGGGCAGTCCACAGGCAGCAGTGCCTGCTGTTGGACAGCACCTGGCAGTGGGAGCCCCAGCTCACCAGGAATGCTGGAGATACACAGGACGTGGGCATTGCAGACTGTGAACTGATCCACAACTGTGCCTGGTTGGTTGGCATCAATGATCACCACCTTGCTGGTGGTCAGGGTGCTGGTGAGGATCCATACCCGACTGGAAGTAGCATCCGCCTCAGGGGCCTCCTTTACCTGTTTCAGAGCATATCAGGGGGGAATCAAAGCTGATGTTTGAACTTGGTGTCAACATGAATCAGGGAATCTCTGGGACTTCCTAGGATCTAGCTTTAAATATGGCATCAATGGATGGTTACCCTCCCCTACAGCCCACAGAACCCTATCTTGATGGTTCATTTCTAAGAGGAAACTATGAACTTGGAGAGGCGACTCTCATGGCCTGTAAGTCAAGCTGTGACTGTGCTCTGGGCTTCATTACAAGCCACTGGGCCTCTCCTATGAGCAGCCCTCCTGCTGCCTACTTTACTACATGATATAAGGTATGCCTGGTTCTCCCAAGCCCTCTGTTACCAAGGGCAGTAGACAGTCCCATTGCTCCACAGGCTAGGAGGAAACCTGGACTACAGAGAGGTAGCAGTGGGTATCTTAGATGCTGCAGCACCTGCTTCCTGTCTAATAGAGGAAAAGGGATGCACTGTCACCAAGGTGTGGTCACTTACTGCCAGAACCTGCAGGAAACTATCTAAAGGCTTTATATAGGGTAAAACCACACTCTCGACCTACATACTGACCTTCTTCTTCTCAGGTGATGGGTGGGTACTCTTGGGTTCACCTTCTCCTTCCCGGTCGCAGGTCAGAGGGTCGCGACCTGGTGCAGGCTTGGGTCCATTGCTAGAGTCCTCTTCATTTGGTTTCCACCCACTCAGGTTGACACCAGCAGCACACCACAGCTGCGAGGACAGGGCTGTGAGGTCTTGGTGCAACAGCTTCCACGGGCTACAGTAATGGAGACTACCCTTTGTCCAGGTTTCCCTTGGGGGCTTCTGAGCAGAGTCCTTGGTGCTCACCTTTGTTGAGGGGTCCTTCTCCACCAGAGGGCGACAGTACACAGGGACAGGCACATTTTTCATTCGGGTGTCTTCCTGGCCTCCATTGGGGCTCAGCTGCAACAGAGTGGGAGGTTCTGTGGTATGAGGTTGAGGGAGACACCTTAGCCTTCAGAAACCTCAATCATTAGTTGCCTATTGGATTCTGGTACACAGTGCACTGGGTCTGGCTCTGATGGGCCTCTGTGCTGCTTAGTTTTTGCCAACATGACACAAGCTAGAATCACCTGGGAAGAGGGAACCTCAACTGAGGAACTGCCTTCATCAGATTGGTCCACAGGTATGTATGTGGGAGGTGATCCTGGGTTGTGTAAAAACACAAGTTGTATATGCAATGGAAAACAAGTCAATAAACAATGTTCCTCTGTGATTTCTGCTTCAGTTTTCCTTGATGATGGAAGTTAAGTCAAATAAACCCATTCTTCACCCAAGCTAGTCTGGTCAGTGTTTTAACAGAAAGCAAACTAGAATACCCTCAGAGTTACAGATCCACCAACACCAGGTAGGAGATGGGCGCCTCCTGGCTCTGCACTACCACTGTGCCCTTCTCACAGCATCCCCTCCATACCACCCTCTGCCCCAAGTACCTGCTTGTACTTGGCAGGCAGGCTCCACCCACAGGCCTGCAGTCTCCCGTCATCATTGCGCACATGTTCACGAACCTGGCGGTACTGCTCCCGCTTCTGCTCCCGCCGGGCAGAAGAGGTGCAGTCACTGAGTGAGAGGAATGACGGGTTACATCTGTTCACGGTGAGCCGTCTCTGTGAGGCTGGGGCACCCAGACTCTCACAGGTCTTCTGGTAGAGTGTGCCATGCCTCACAGCCTGCCTAATGCTACCCTTGCCTTTTCTGGAACAGGGGGTACTATTTGACAGAAGGTAGCTTTTCCCAATTATGGCGTGTGATCCTGTGCTTAAGAAGTCATTTCCAGCTGTTCTAGAGGTCTGTTCTGTTATGGGCAGCAACTGTGTGACCTAGGTGAGATTACTGGTAGTTACAAAAATGGCAGCAAGAAGCTTAACTAAGTGTTATGGGCAGTGCTCAGACCCTAAGGTCATACAGAGGAGGTAAGAGTATTGTGGGACCCAGCACAGTCTTCAAAATATAGGAGAATGGTTCCTTGAAACTGCAGTCCCTGCTAAAAGACATTTAGACAGAACCTGAGAACTAGGTTTGCTGGGGGTAATGGACCTAGAGAGAAGCTGTTGTCTTTTCTGTTCCTGATAACCTCTGTCCCACAGTACAGTATATTAGAACTTCAAGTATGGAGTAGTCAGACTTAGGACACTTGGCCTCCTCCCCTTAGTAGGCTGGTGGAGCAGGGGGCTAGGGATACCTACTCATCAGGGAAGAATTCCAGGGGTCGGCTGCCGGCTGAGATCTGGCACATAGCATGGCTGCGGCGCTGGCTAAAGCCAGCTGCAGTGGGTGACTTGTAGTGAATGTTCACCGATGGGTAGGACCGCTTGGCTGGAGGGGGACTGGATGAGGAGCTGAAGAGGCGGCTAAAGCTGCCATGGAAACACAGGTAAGTGAGCCAAGAATGGGGCAGTAGCAGGCTGATGAAAGCCTCTCCTTCCCTAGAGCACCATACTCACAACTGCCAGATGGTAGACTTCTTCTTTTCCTGGACCGACGGGTGCTCCCTTGATGCTCTGTAGAGAAAAGGAGGAGCTGAACCAAGTGACCCTTGAGCCCTCCAAACTATTCCAACACTCCGGGGAAAGGAAGTGTGGTGGAGGGCAGCCAAATCCCATGGTCTGCTAAAATTCTACCACCCTAGCTCAGGCTAGATCCAAGCACAGCCATGAACTTGCACAGGAAATGTCAGGGGAAACGCTGGGGGGGGGGGGGGCCACACCTGATCATTTCAGTCCACCTCACGGCCTCCTGCAGCTCCATGAGGCGCTCCTTGTACTGGTTACGTTCCATGAGCACTCGGGCCATCTCCACCCTTGTGAAGCGTCGGCGCTGGGCCATGGGGATTTTGTCCTGCAGAGGGGGAGAACATGGTTCCTCCAATGAGAAACAGGAGGATAGTCAAGCATATATGGCTTCCTTCTGAGGAGTCTACCACCTAGGTGGGGATAGAGCTGGGACAAATGATGGTAGGAATGGCAGGGTAGAGTGTCAGGGTAGCCAACATGGGGTTTGACACTCTTCTCTCCAAAGCTGCACCCTGAGCTTGAACAGGATGAACTTAAGGGAGTGGGGACAAAGTGCACAGGGAGCAGGTCCTCCCTGCATGGCCTCACCTACCCAGGATCTGCTTCTGCCTATGCGCAGTAAAGAAGGTGGAGGCCTGGACTAACCACTCTTTCACAATCCACATTCTCACCTCTGCTAGACTATCCTGAGATGGAATCTCTACATCATGTCCCAGTGACTGAGCAGATGAGCAACTGCTCTGTTATAAGGGACCCAGTCTGTTCTCTAAAGGCATTCTGTACAGGGGGACAAACTGCTGCCCCAGACATGATTTTGGGAAGTGAGAGGAAGTGCAGGCTCAGGGTTTGGTTGCACTGCCCAGGCTGCAGATGCATACCAGCAACACCTGGTGCCACTTCTGCAGCCTCTTTGGTAACAAAAAAAAACCTACTGGGACTGCAGAAGGGATCAGTAAGAAAGGGAACAAATGTGACCCTGCCTCAGTTTAGGGGGTGGGGGGTGGGGGAGTCTGCCATAGGAGAAGTCTGATGCCATCAAGTCTCTCAATGGAATGGGAGAACATGCACTGGCGTTAAGAGGTCACAAGTCAGGGGTGAGGAGGGCCCAGGAGAATAACCAAGTCTAGGAAGCCCCGCCATGCCAGCCCACCCATGCCCACAGGTTAATAGTAGATATACCAATTCTGTACAGAGATAGCTGCTTACATCCTCCACCTCTTCTCTGGGCTCACGGCGGGCGGTTACTGCCTCTGACTTGACTCTATAGGACGTGGGAAAAAGCAGGCAGGGTAAGAGCCCTGCCAAATGTGTTTCACAGCCCAGACATTTGGCTGCTCTAATCAAAATGCGGGCGATCCAAGCCCAATAGAGAGTAAATCAAGCTATCCTGGTGGGTAGGCAGGTAGTTTCCAGAGGCCTTCCCTACACTGCGCCTCCTATTCAGAGGGACTAGAACCAGGATGCAGCATTTCCAAGACCTTGTGGCTTTGATCTTGGCTGATCGGAGGGCTGTGGAGCAGAGATATTTGATCAGCCCTGCATTCCTGAATGAAGAATGGGGTAAGAGCTGTAGCTGAGGATGGCCCCAACATTCCCAGAAGGACAGCACTCTGTACCTGGTGAGGGCACAGAGGACTTGAGAGGAGACAAAGGGGGTGGTCAGACAACAGACCTACCTAGTGGCTGGACCCTGAACAGTGAATACACAAAGGTACTAGGGAAGACAGGCGCTCTTAGATGTTAGAAGTAGACACCTGGCTTTATTAAAGACAGAGAGGAGAGGTGGCAGCTTGGACACCCAGTGCAAAGCCCAAGTCTCTGCTGTTCTTACCTTTTCAGTTCTTCTTCAAGCTCTTTGATTCGGTTCTCCAGCTTGACTTTGGCTTGCTTGGCTGCTTCCAGTTCACCCTTCAGCACCTCCTGTTCTCCTGACAGTTGGTCAACCTTTGCAATGAGGTCATTCTTCACCACATTCAAAGCATTTCTTTAAAGGGAAGAAAGACGAGGGCTTAATGAGAGCCCATGTGCATCCCTTTTTTGACAAGGACTTCTATTTGTTTTATTGTGAGACAGAGCTTTGCTATGTAGCTAGCTTCAAACTTGTACTTCTGTGTCTGTCTTTTGAATATGAAGAGTGCAGGCCTGAGACACACCCTTGCAGGCACATCCTGGTCTAGAATGAGAACACTTGTTTGACCTGTGCATCAAATGGAGTAGTCATCCTCGCTGAAGGTTCCTTACAGTAGCTTTTTAGAGGAACCACTCAGGAGTCCTATGGGTTCCTACTACAAGGGATGGTAACAGTCATGTTTTAGGGGCCATCCAACCCTGGGTTGGGCCCGCTGGTACAGAGGATGCTTACTTTGTCTCTAGAAGCTGTGAGTTCTCCAGTAGCAGGTTCCCCACTTCTTTGCCCATTCCTGAAACAAAAGATAGGAAAGTTTCCCTGAGTCTCTCTAAGTGGACTTTGTTCTATTGAACCTACCTCTGCCACAGAGTAGCAACCTTCCTGGCCCTGTGCCTTGAGATGGGAAGGGATGAGGGTTTGATACTCCCACCTGCAGGGTATTTGGGCTGCAAAATGAGGGGCAGTCAGACCGGGAGAGGTCCCTGGCCTCAACTATAGCCAAATAGGAAGCCCTGGCCCTCCCTGGGTTCACATTCAGAGGCCTAGAATATTCCTTTCAGCTGGCTCCCAACAGAATTCAGACTTATAGCAGAATGGGCCTGTGAAGCCCACTTCACTCTCTGCCCTTAACAGTACACCCAACTCCTACTGTATGGTTTACTCACAATCAAGGCCTTCCGCTGCCACCCACGGGTAAACAAATGTTGGGACTGTGACAAAGGACAGAGATGGCACAGAGAAAACCTTTGCTCCAGGGATGATTTATTGCAGTTGCAGCCCGCCATGAGGTTACACATGGGTCTGGTAGGACCTGGCCTTAGCAGTGGGTTCAGGAAGTATGTAGAGGGAGCAGATATGAAGACAGGAACTTTTACTGGGGAACTGACACAGCCCTTCCACCAAAAGACTAAGTTCTCTCTTATAATCTCCAAAGTACCAGGTTTAACCCTCAGGTTAGCCTTCATCTATATTTTTGCCAGAAACAGCAACGGCACGGTGAACTGCTAGTCACAGAGCATCCTGATGCCCGCTTGGACCTCCTTTGCTTCAAACAAGGACCTGCTTTTCCCTGGTAAGCTAAGAGGGAACACCAGGTGCAAGGTCTGTCCTGGGCCCATGGATCCTCTCAGAGACTGACAGTGGTTTGTCCATGGTGACCAGAAGCTTGGAGGGAAGGCCACCTCCCACCCCAGCTGAAACAGAATGGAAAGATGGCACCTCACCCCAAGCCTGAGGTACCTGGAAACCCTGAAGCCCCCTCACTGCCACTGGCCCACAAAGCAAAGGGCTCATGAAGCATGAGAAGATGTTGGATAGAGAGAGGAGGCCAGAAAGAGGAAAACAGACACTTAAGCAGGGCCTTGGCCTTACCAAAAAAATCATCGCGCACTACGGGAGCATCCCAGTCCCACAGGAGACGGGCAACGGGGCAGGAGGAGGGAGAAAAAAGAAGCGTGTTAAGCCTATGTAGACAGCAAAGTAGAGGATGTTGGGGGCCACTTCTGGTTGGGTTAGAGTTGGCAGCAGAGGGGACAGAAGGGCAGGAGGTGGGATAAAGCCAGGGATTCCTGTGAAATTTTATCTGTGGCAACAGAGCAGACAGTCAGAGGAAACCACACGAGAAGCTGTGCCCAGGGGCTTGGCTGCCATTGAACACACTAAAGGGCCATAATTAGAGGGGCATGTGGGCCTCAGGGCCTCAGGGCCTCCTGTGCACAGCAGTTCAGCATGGCCACCCAGGTGGACTACAATTGACAGGTGCCTGCCTCATGGCACCTTTAACTTCTGGGATGTGCTGTCTTATGTTCCTCATGACTCTGTAGATCCTTCAGAAATAGCCCTTGGGGGCCTTTTTAGGCTTGCAGATGGGGGTCATATATTAAGAACCTGTCAGTGGTCAGTGGAGCAATCCCATCTGGGCATTTTTGGCAGTAGCAGCTTGGGAGCAAAGCACATGGCTATAGGGGTTAAGTGGCCTGGAGCAGCCAGACAGAAATCAGTGGTCAGTGTGCACAACCCTTGGTGGCGGTCAGTAGCAGGGGGGAAGAGTCCCACCCCCTGCTTCAGCTGCTCTCCACAGTAGAAAGAGGGGACCACATGGAGACAGACAGGAAAGATACACACCTGAGAACTCCCCTGGGCAGCGTCCAGTGAAGCAGAGACAGGAAAGGAAGCAACAAAGATCAATTGGTGACTGGAACCAACAAATAAATTATTAAAAAAAAAAAAAGCAACAATGATTGAGCCATTCCTATGTTGATGGGCACAAAAACCAAAACTACAGCAGGTCCAGGATACATCCCATCCCACGGATACAACCCTAAAGTTGTAACCCTGCCTTCCTCTCCAAGGGACCTAGAGGACCCAGCTCTTGTTCAGCTCTGCCAGACATCTGTAGCACCCAGTGGTAGGCTAGTGCCCAACAGACCAATTCCTGTAAAGAGAAGGGTGTGTGTGTGTGTGTGTGTGTGTGTGTGTGGCAAACAATACCAAGGAGGCCCTCCAGAGTGAACAAGCCCTGCTGGCAGTGAATACAAAGAGGCCCTGACTTGTCACAGATGTGCACCTGGAGATGGATGGGTTCAGGGGTCTCCTGTTCAGCCCAGTACTTACAAAAGTCCAGGGGAGGAGGACATGACCTTGTGTGAGAGACATGAAAATGATAAGAAGGAAATAAGGACTCTACTGTGAAGAGAAAATGAATCAGAAAGTTGGGGGTGGGGGCGGGGGTGGGGGCGGCTGGGGACATGGAGGGCTATGAACAGACCTCACTGGGTATAGGCCTCTTCAGTACAGGGGGAAAAATGGGACTAAAGTAGGAAAACACTTTGTCTCCAATAAGTTAGAGGATAGAATTCTGTTCTGCTTGTACACTTCCCAGGGAAGTACACAAAATGTTTGTCATGGAAAGCCAAATAAGGCAGAGTACCAGCTTAGAAGTAGCACTCCTTTGCTCACACCTCTCTAGACAGCACCCTATACTATCTGCCCCTCACCCCCACCCCAGAAGCTGGTTTGGTAACCGGGGCTCTAAGCACCTTGGGTGCTGTCCATAACTGCCCATCACCATCTGCTCCTGCCATACAAAAGGCAGCCACGATTCTACGTGAGCACCAGGCACTGGGTGCAGTCTCACCAGAGGCCTGTGCAGAGCTCCACACAGGGAGCACACACACCAGCTTGATGACTCATTTCACACTCACTGTTCATGAGCCATGAAGCTGAGGAGTTCTTATGTGTTTGAGGTACCATCAGTGGTTTTCTAATTTATCCTTTGCTGGTTTTCTATTGTATTTGATTTGTTTCAACGGTAAAGAACACCCACACACATACTTTCTCGTCTTTTTCTTTGGTTCTAAGTGCTGGGGAGCAAACAGACTTCTGCTAAGCATATGTTCTACTACTGAACTACACCCCAGGAGCACACACATACTGATTATCACATGTATGAACATTTTCTTTGATGGTTTTGGTAATGTAGAGACCTGGCTTATAGAAATATTCTTTAATATTCTTCCTTAGCTCCATTCCCCTTGTAGTTTTGTTTAAATATTTGATCAACCTGGAATTAATTTCTGTTTTATAAGATCAGGCAACCATCTTATTACAATATGAACTGAAGCTCATTTTTGTGTAAACATCTCTGACTCATCATCCTCTTATACAAGTGTGTCTACTTCTCAAGGAGAGCCCTCTCTAGGCATCTACACCCGGTTACTACATGGAGTAGTCCACTATGAAAGAATGAATCTGAGCACCAGCAGAGTGACACAGGTTGGATTCTCTCTAGCAAGGGAGTTGCCTGACTTCTCTGAGGATCAGCTTCCTGACTTGAATATGGGGAACATATTGCCTCACCACTAGTGTGTACTCTGGTGTTCCCAGCAGACAGTGCAGGCAGAGGTGGCATGATACTTGTTATTCCTAAAACATCCATTCTGTGATACGTGTTTTCCTCAGTATTTCTGAAGCCTTACATGGATGCAACAACTGGCAGCTGATTTATTCACTTATCTAGTTCTTTTACATCCCACCCCAGTTGCCCCTCCCCATCCTTTTCTCCTCTCAGTCTCCCCCACTTCTCTTTTTTCTGTAACCGAGCTTCTTAAAATAATGTATGTTGGTACTGCTGGTGTTTTATGTTTGATACATACAGTGTATGCCAGGGAAGATACCTTTTTAGTTCCTTCCTAGCTGTGAGATACATGGAGCTGAAAGGCAAGCCTCCTGGGAAGAGGGCTCACCACTGTAATCGTAGCTGATGACCATCTACTGACGTAAGCCTGTGCCTGTGAGATCACAGCCTCTCTCTCCTGCCTGTGCGGTGTTCATGTCTCTACATCTACACAGGCTGCTCGGTGTGCTTATTCACTGTATCCTGCTGTCTGTGCCGCATCGGATGACTGCGGCCACAGGCCAGGAGGGCCCTTGGGTGGGTATCCATCTAAGTAGAGAGACAGATCCCAGCTCATGCCCCCAGAACTCAATCACCATAGTAAGTCATTTGTCACTGTAGTCACAGATTGTACAGCAGTGGTCCTGTCTGAGCTCCTTATGGCCATCTGACTTCCTATTTCCACGGGGGGGTGGGGTGGGGGAAGGCTCTAGAACACCTGCCACCAAGACTGGGTATCATGGCAACCTTAGTGGTTACTGTCCCACAGAAATGAGAGCAAAGTAACACACGGGGAAGGATTCCTCTTTGTTGTGTGCCAGAATAGGACTCTGATGTTTGCTGCCCCAGAACATACTCCATCACCGCATGTCTGCAGGAGTGGTGTCAGCTACATAAAGTCACACCCTGGCCACTCAAGGCACCTCACAGACCATCCCCTGTGCCCGTGCTCCCGTGTGTCTGTCTGAACTGCCCACCCTTCACTTACGTGATGGTCCTGTGATGCCTGTGGAGCAGTGGAAGTAGTAGAGTCCTACGCATTCTGCTTATAATGAATGTGAAGGCCTGTGGGAGAAGCCTGCTCCCTTCCCTAGCAAGGAGAGGTGTGACCCTGGAGAAACCCAGGAATGGCTGCCATAGCTGTGTGCTAGAAACAGATCGAAATTCTGAGCTTTTCCCAGAGCATGGTGTGGGCCCTACTCCTAGCACTTAGCTGCCTATAAGGAGCATCCAGTGGATACCAAGTGCTAGCAGTATGTCTTTGTGAATAAATTAAAAAACCATAAACTGGAGACTTTAGGGAAAGTTCAAAAAAGGAAGAATTTACTTCAGTAATATAAAATAAAAGTCCTCAGCCCAAAGGAGCATAAAACCTTTCCTTTGTTATAACTAACTAAATAAAAAGACCAACATGAGTCCAAGTGTCAGAGAGTTATGAGTTGTGTTTACCTAGGAGGTCAGCTCCCTCGTCCACATCCCCGATGACCTCAGACCCTGCTGTAGATAGTTCATGATACAAGGAGTCAGTGTTGATTCCAAAAGCTTTGTTTACGATTCCCTGGGTTGGGCTGTTGGGATACATACATAAAGAGCAGTTAGGAACAGCCCTGCTGTACTACCTGACAGCAACCCTCCAAGCTTGTGTTGAGCTCTGCAACTGAAATGTCTCCAGAAGTCCCGACACTAAAAGCATATGGTGCAACTTTAGGAAGTGGCCTAAGAGGGAAGAAAGAAGGCTGCAGAGGGTATGTATTTAAAGGTATTCTCAATTTTAAGGGTTCTCAGCCGGGCGGTGGTGGCGCACGCCTTTAATCCTAGCACTTGGGAGGCAGAGGCAGGCGGATCTCTGAGTTCGAGAGTTCGAGGCTAGCCTGGTCTACAGAGTGAGTTCCAGGACAGCCAGGGCTACACAGAGAAACCCTGTCTTGAAAAAAAAAATTTTTTTTTTAAGCGTTCTCAATTCTGGAACTCCATGAAACAAGCAATTCTCTCACCATATGCTTCCCTCATGATATACTGTGTTACCACAGGCCCACAGGCTAAAGCCCTGAAACTTCTAGAAATCAACCCCCGTCTCCTCATCATTGTTTGTTTATATTTATTTAGCTTTTTCAAGACAGGGCTTCTCTGTGCAGTCTTGAACTTAAGAGACTGCCTGCCTTGCCTCCCGAGTGCTGGGATTAAAGTGCTGTCACCACTATCTGGCGAATCTTTCTTAATTTTTTTTTTTTTTCGAGACAGGGTTTCTCTGTGTAGCCCTGGCTGTCCTGGAACTCACACTGTAGACCAGGCTGGCCTCAATCTCAGAAATCCACCTGCCTCTGCCTCCCAAGTGCTGGGATTAAAGGCGTGCACCACCACTGCCCGGCTTCTTTCTTACTTTTTAATTGATGATTTCAAGTATTTTTCCACAGGGCTAGGCAGCCAACTGATAAACATGTTCACTGACAATCCTGCAATGTGGGTACAGACATGACTGGGATACAATGATACCCGCTCTCCCCACCCCCAAGCACACTGAATCCCTCATCCAGAGCCTGGCTGAATGAGCACCTGCTTCCTGTGCGGTCTAGACGGGTTTCTGGACACACATCCAGCTCTGGGGTAGAGTCGATAATGTCCTGAACATCAGACCACTCATCACTGCTGCCCATACCTAGTACAGAACACAGAAAACCTTGTGTCAGCAGAGAGCCTGAAAACTTTTGCCTTATTCATGAAAGCTTCCCAGGCCTGCATCTACAAAATTCATACTAGTTTCCACTAGATATGACTGTCAAAAAAGGGTTCTTCCCACACTGGCTAGGTGGATGGAGACTCTAGTACTATGGGAGTCTAGGGAGGAAGGCCTGTAACAAATAGGTATGTACTGCTGAGGGAAGATCCCACTCCCTGCCTGCCCTGTTTAAGTTTCAAAAATGGTTTTTTTCCTTTGGTAACTGGATCTCGGTCGCTTGCGTGTGCTCCCTCCCTCCCCCCTCCCCCCATCTCTCTAATTTCAAGCACCCTAGGCTAATCTTGAACTCCTAATCCTCCTGCCTCTACCTCCTAAGAGCTGGGAATTACAGATGTATACCTCTGTGACCAGCTTGGAGTTTGGTCTTTAAGGAAGTGATCAAGTAAAATGAGGCCATGTGGTTCACCTCACTCAACAGGTGTCCTTACAAGATTAGACATGCTGTGAGGACACAGGGAGTTGGCCCTCTGTAAGCCCAGCAAGAAAGACCTTAGGAGAGATTGCCTGTACCTTGGTCCTCATCTTCCTACCTACAAGACAGCTATTTAACCTGCCTACCTGTGGTACATACTTAGAAGCCTTAGCTATTGTTATCTGCTCAGGCTAAAATCCAAAGAGGAAGAAACACCTCTCTGGTGTGGACAGGAGAGGTGGTAGTGAGCAGCAGGTACCCGACCTCTCTCCAGGGATGGGATGGCTGGTGGGATACTGGGCAGACTACACACCGATACTGACGTTCCGCATCTCTTGGGTGACCTGGACCTCCATGTTACGGCTGTTGCGCTTTTCTCGGGCCCGCTTGTTGTTCTTTGTGACACTGCCATAGTCCCCCAGGGGCTGTAGGCTCTCATTGAGTGGCGTGACCGCTGCTGAGGGCACGGAAGATGTGGGTGTGTTGGACTTGGTACCTGTAGTACTGGGTGTTGCAGCTGCTGAGGACTGGCCTGACTCAGACATCTCATCATTTGGACACTAGAGCCAGAGAAAAAAGGAAGAACATCACAGCAGGCCACAGTGCTGTGATTAGAGAAGCTGCTGAGGCCCCGTGGCTGTTTCTCTGCTACATGGTTACAAACAAACAACACTGTGCCCACCTGTAGAGGCAGGAGTCTCCTTTTGGCCTAGTTACTCCTGAACAATGATGCTCACCCATAGCTGCCTGACTTCCCAGAAGCAGCCACCACCTCACTGAATGGAATTTTCAGCTTATACCTCCATAGGACAGTCCAGCACAATTATGAGGGTTATGATGCTACACAGAGGACATGGTCGAAGACAAAGTGGGTGACCTTTGCAGCTGTAGGCTAGTCAGAAATCAACGGCAGACTAGCATGGGACAAAGGGCTCCACCCAGGGATAAGGAAGTTGCTACCTGGCACTGGATGGCCAAGTGTGCTGTACACTAAGCTACTTTACTCCTCCTCCTCCCTCTTACCATTTCTAGGTCACAGATGCACAGCCCTGGCTGAGGACAGTGGTAGAGAGGGACAGTGTTTGACTCTATGGCTGGGACCTCCTCAGGAGGTCCTGAATGCTTCTGTCACACATCAGCTGAACCAAAGTTTAGCCCTGAACAGCAATGCAAATTCTGCTTTAATAAAATGGGAACTGTTCTGGAGGAAATTCAGGCTCTTAGAGAAGCCAGCTGCTAACCTTATAAATCTTGTGAGGGGAAAAAAGGCACTCAACTGAAGGGTACAAAACAAGAAGCACACATTTTATTCTTGTGCTCTTTCCTGATAAAACTATTAGATACTCTCAATAAAAACTGTCCCCAAACATTCCTCTATTAATTAATATTGACAAATGTATGACATGTGACTCTGAGTAGGTGGCCTGGCTATCCCAGGCAACAGCTGCCCTTCAGATCCCACTGCTTGTCTGTTGTGAAGGCCAAGGAATTGACTAAACATCTCAGATATGCACTGTCCTGAGTTCAAGAGTTTTGCTCCAGAAAGAGGGCATGCCTTCAGAAGAATGTTCTGTTGGTGAGGCTGTTCACCAGGGTGTAGTGAGGAAAAAGTACATGGCTCTGTACAGAGCTGGGTAAATGCAGAGATATGAACTCAATAGTGTGCATCTGGGTCTCAGAGATCAGAGCTGGCTCTGTGGATGCCTTTGCTCAACTCACTGGATCACTGTCAGGCCCTAGCATAAGTCTCTCAGTACTGGACACAGTCACGTCTTCAAAGGACAAGGTTCTGGCTTTATCTACCAAGCTGCTTTAGTTCTAAATAAACAACTGTGCAGGGGACGCTCGGCAAAGGACAGCTCTCTTGTCAGCATTCGATGGTGTTCTTGGCATCAAGTGAGTGCAGCTCAAGGATGCTGCTCTGTATCCTATAGTGGCCACGATGGTCCATAGCCAGACACAATTCAGTCCTAGCCAGCAATGCAGAGGCAAGAACCTTTACACTGGCATGCAGTACAGCCATCTTGGAAATGGCGCTGTAACAAAACTGTAGCTCTGTATTTGGATCCAGCTTCTGCCCAGTATGACAAGGGAGGAACATTTTTTTCTTCATATCCTTGTGAGTGCCAAAGAGGCAAGCATGGTTCACATGGAGCCTTTGAGAGGTAGCTCTCAAAAGACTTGTATTTGCCTCTCTTCAGAGTCATCCAGGTGCCTTCCAGATGTAGATGAATGCTGCCGCCACCCAGTAAAGGACAAAAAAGAAATTCCAAGCAGGCCAGGAAGAAGCCAGAGGTATGAGTCCCACTCATTTCCATACCTCCTTTTACAGTATCCACGTTCTGTTGCCTATCGTGACACTTTGGTAAAAATGGGGGCATTTGCCCTCTGGCTGTGCCTCCCCCAGTGCCCCGCTCTGTTATCCTACAGGGCCACACTTACCCAGGGGATACACCCCCCTGGCCACCACTTACCTAGGGCAAACCTCTCAACCTCCTAAACATCAACGGGGAGCAGTGACCTCCAAATGTATTGCAAAGAACCCACACTCTTAGCGGTCATTCCTCACCATGAGTAGCCACAACTGTTTGGTTAAAACACTACAGTATATAAAAACAAAAAACAAAACAAAAAACAAACAAAAATTAAGAAATTAGAAAAACCTTAAAATATGGAACATGAAATAAAAAGAACTTAATGTGTAATCACTTTTTAAAAATGAGAAAAAAAACAAGTAAAACATACAACAAACTAAAACACAAAACATTATGGTTTAAGAGAGAAAAACGATTTCAGACAACACAGTAGAGACAGAAAGACATGGTAAGAAGAAAAGCTGGTAAAGCGTGGGCCTGAGTAGGTGCCGAGAGCCAGGCTGGGTCAGGCACAGGCTCCCATGGCATTCTGAAGTTCTTGTAGCTTCTGCAAATGCTTAAAGGGAAGCATTCTCACAGGTCTGCTGTGAGGGAGACTGAGCGAGCAAACATGAAAAGGTAGCACAACGGCAAGGCCGTATCTAGATGGCCAGGGATAGGAGAGCTCTTATGGGTCTTGGTGCCTTCTTCTTATGGCACATACACTGGCAGGACAGTGAGAGGGCAACAGCACCTCTGTCTTGCAGATACACTCATTGCCTAAAACAAGAGTAGAAGCAGTGGGTCACTTTCTGACAGAGCCAGCAGCATACAACAGTCCCTGGAGGCAAGCTGGACACAGGAGGACAGTAGGCCAAGAGCAAGAGCACAAAATTTCAGAAGCCCTGAACTCATCCATCAAGTCCAGAGGCTCAACAGCATGTGTCCCCCCAATTCCCTCTGTGAGGAACTTTTACCAGACCAAAGGGCACCTCCTCCACCCCAGGAAAGCAGTCTCCATACACACCCACCCCTTGTACAGAAAGTGACCTAGAACCCTGAATGAAAGACCTGGCCTTTTCTGGGCTCCATGTTTGGGGTGCATACCTGTAGGTGGTGGTATCTCCCTTCTCAGCTTGTGGCTGAGGAGCTATGGCCAAAGACAAACAGAAAAGAGCCCAAGGCAAGAGCCATCTCATTATCTACACCTCCTCCAAGTAGAAGCCTCGGGCTCTAGATACTGAATGCACTCTGGCTGGCATCTCGGCAAAGATAGGCATGTATCTGGGGATATGTTCGGTTGTTCAGCCTTAATAGACAACTTCCTTAGCTGCAGAGTGGCCAGAGAAACTAAGGGGGCTATCCTAAACTCACAGGTGCTAGTGTGAGTGTGAGGTCACACAGAGCAGGAAGCTCATGCATCCTGACACCCCATCTCTGTTTCTTTTCCCTGTCTCATGTCAGGGGATGGTAGACTAACTCAGGGAAAATAGCAAAGACTGGAGTCCCCTGAGTGGACAAGGAATACCAGTAGTTTGGGGACCCTCACTACACACACGGCTACAAAACCTGGTAGCTGGAGCTGGACTGTAGCTGGCCGAGGTCACTCAGGTGCCAGTGGTCCCCCGCAGGCACGAGCTTGCCCCCCATCTGTGCACGTACCATGCCATCAGCCAGGGGGAAGACATTCAGAGAGGTGGGACGCTCCTTCCTGCTGCAGTAGAAGAGAAGTAAGCAGAGGAGTGGATGGTTAGATGGTGCTATGAGAGAGTCAAAGTCCATCTCTTGACACAGAGATACTGTCTATGCTTAAAGTGGCATCCTATACCCAGCCACTAAGTATCATTTCTACACATGTGAGGGTGTGGAAATTTTCCTTAACTAGGATTTATGTATTTTCCCCTTCTGTCATGCTCTAATTTAACATTTTAATTTAATTTAATTTTATGTGTATGGTTGGTTTTGCCTACTTGTATATCTATGTACATGCATGCCTGGTGCAGTGGAGGTCAGAAGGCATCAGATTCCTTGATTCTAGATTTACAGATACTTGTAAGCTACCATGTGGGTGCTAGGGACATATCCTCTGGAAGAGCAGTCAGTACTCTTAACCCATCAGCCATCTTTCTAGCTCCCCTATTTTGTCTAATTTAAACAGAAACAGTGTCAGAGCTGGTAATCCTAAGGCAATGCCAACAAGAGCTTTTTCAATATTTATTGTTTTAAAGTTCTGAATATACGTGTGTAGTGTGTGGATATGTGTATGTGAGTACAGGAGCCACCTGAGTCCAGAAGGGAGTATCAGATTCTAGAGGCATAGGCAGTTGTGAGCTGCCTCATGCATGTGCTGCTCAGAACAGAACTCAGGACCTTTGGAAGAGCAGTAAGTACTCTTTGGTTTTTTTTTGTTTTTTTTTTTTTGGTTTTTTTGAGACAGGGTTTCTCTGTGTAGCCCTGGCTGTCCTAGAACTCATTCTGTAGACCAGGCTGGCCTCGAACTCAGAAATCCGCCTGCCTCTGCCTCCCAAGTGCTGGGATTAAAGGCATACACCACCACTGCCCGGCTTGAGTTTGCTTTCTTATTGGCTTGTCATGGCAAGGATAGAATCAAAGAGGCTGGGTGTTTCATGTGGGAAATATTGGTTGGGGTTGTGGAGGAATGCTCAGGGCTGAGGCCTCTCTAGAAGGTACTTGTCAGTATCTGGCTTGCATGATTCTTTCACATAGGGTTTGCTTGGCCTTTTAGCATCAAGTAGAAATAATTCAGATGCTGCATCCCAAAAGAGTGAAGAGTTTGTCTCCATGAACTTCCCTAGTTCAGCTGTACTGACAATATCCCACAAGTGCCAAGTCCCTGGGCCACTGAGAGGGCAGCACAATGAGGGACTGAGAAGCCAGCACAGCTCACTAGCCCTGCCTGTTCCAGCAGGCTCCTAGCCTCCTTGACCACATTTTGCCTCTAATAGGGAAGACCCTTGGGCCTAGTTCTGCCCCATTAAGCACTCTTACTTATGACCGGGGTGAGAAGCACATATTGTGTTCCTAGGCTCTAAACCAATGATGTCTCTCCCACTCCTCTCCTCCAGATGTTACAGGATGAGAAAGGGGAGTTGGCTCTTGTTTCAAGGGATGGAACGACACACACACTGCTGATGATTAAATCCACAGTTTGAGATGCTTCTACTGGCCTACCACCTACCAAGCCAGGGCACTGGAGTCAATGGCATGATTTCATCTTTGATAAGGGCAGACAGTTCTTGAGTGTGGGGTAGAACCTGGAACCTGAAAAACTCAAGGAACTCTGCCAACTACTGTGCGGCCATACTAGGGTATGCAGCAAGTCTGTACTTCCTCAGTCTTGTGAATGTGGAGCTGCAGAAGGTCATCAAGAAAACTGTGATTTCAATCAAAGCCATCACTATCCTAATTCTTCCCTCAGACAACCCCAATCCTTGCAGTGACCTTAGCACTGCAGTGGACAAAGACCAACAGGCTTTACCTTTTCCTCCACGACTGGCGAGGACTGCAAGCAGCAACAGACACAATGGCCAGCACATAGCAGCGACAGCACAGAGGACAGGACAAGAAGACCACATTAGAGGATGAAGGTCACACTGGCTACTGTCTATGCATGTGTTCACAGTGAAAGCACGTGCATGACGATGGTGAGATATCTGGACCCCATCATGTTTTCCCTCTATATAAACAATAGCTATACACAATATCTACAGGAATAGACACATGAGGTACAGATGCTTATGGTTTTGATAAAAAACCCTAGGATGTGACCTATTGAACAGGTAGGTGGGTAAACACAGGGCTTATCACAAATATCATGTGCACACAGGACAAGAGCACAGAGACACATAGGCTCCCATGCACATCTGCAGCAATGGTCCAAGAATAGCAAGTATTGGAGAGTTCACTGAGTTCATTCCAGACATACAGATTCTGAAAAGCATGCCAGGAGTGCAGGAAAAGGCCACATGCATTACAAATGGCCAGCAGCTCAGACTCAGGAAGAATAAAAATTTTATAAAGTCCTTGTGGGGAACTGAAAAAGTGTGACCAACTTAAACATCTGACCTAAAGGACATAGTTTCCTCCTACCTCATCTCAAGGGCAGTGCATCAGCAATGCTGAAGTATAGTCCCTACTTGTGATAGTGCACACATACTCGGGATAGAGGAAGGGTTCTTTCTTCACCTCAATTAGCCCACTATTTTGGGTCAAAATAGTTGCTCTCTGTGCCAGGGGCTCTGCACTACCTTGTTGTCAGCTTAGGTTTAGAGCATGGGAGAAATCTTAGTTTCTATTTAACTACTCAATAATGGGAAGGAGAATGGAGTATATGGGTTGAGGAACTTCAGAGACACTAGCCAGGGTGGTGGGAAGAGCCCAGAGGTGAGTATTCCCTCCCCCATGCTCCACATCCAGTCTCCATAAGCCTGGTAACAAGCATCATTCTTCTAAACTGAGACTAGCGTGTGCTAGCAATGGGGTCAGGAGACTAAGGCAACAAGGCTGCTTATTCCTTGGCCGTGGAGACCAATGGGCAGATCAGGTCATATCTGATCAAATACTCAACGGTTTGAACTCAGTGAGCACTCTTCCTGATTAGGCTGGAAAATCCCATTTGTCAAACAACAGAAAAGGCCATGGAAGCTTCTTGGGGTTTCTAGAAGGCATAGAAAAAGCCTCTCCTTTGCACCACCACTATGAGTGTCACCCTTATTTTTGGCACGAAGGGTACTGTGCTGCCTAGAGAACACAGGATGGCCACAGACAGAGGAGACTCACAGATCTACTTCTCATGAAACATGTCAAGGGCATGCTGGTTCTCTTAGGGAAGAAAGGACAGGAGGCAGTAACAGCCTAAGGGCCCTAAACTCCTCTCAGGTAGGAAGCATGCTTCCTACAGCCTGGTTGCCTGGAGATGGAGAAAAAAATCTGAGTACAGGAGAGAAATCAAAGGTACAAGGAGAGGCTCTGGATACCTCGCTGGTGTAAAACTATGGAGCCCACAGGAATACCTTGGTAGCAAGCTTCTAGACGGGCTTCCATCCCTTCATTAAGTAGATACCCATAGGAGAGCACACTCTGCCTGAAGTTGAGGTGTTTCTTTTCCAAGGAAAAGCAGGTAACCTAATTTGGCTCATGGTGATAATCAGAGCCTCCAGAGGTAAGCTTCACAGCCTGCATGGTTCTGAACACAACCCAGCTTTGGTTCTGGCTTAGCTTAGAGGATCCTAGATTATCTATTCCTTCAGCACCACAGGACCTGGAGTACCCACCTGTGGCGTAAGATACTGGATACATGCAATCTGCAATCCTGGGTTTAGGTCACATTGCCTGGGTTCCTTTGATACATTAGGCATGTTTCTCCCACATTTTCAACTACAAAGCTGCTAAGAAATTCATATTCTCTCTCTCTCTCCCTCTCCCTCTCCCTCTCCCTCTCCCTCTCTCTCTGTAGCCTAAGTTACCCAGGAACTTACTATGTAGTTCTAGCTGGCATTTAACATGGATTTTCCTCCTGCCTCAACTCCTGAGTGCTCAGATTACAGATTTGAGCCACATGTCTTGCTCCATGTTCTCCTGAAGGATATGCTGGCAAGAGATTGCTAGAAGGTTCTAGGATGCTGTGGCCTTATACAAAGATATCAACCTCTCCCCCCGCCCCCAACCTCTATACCAGACTCAGATACTTCCTTAAAGATCACTGATTACAAGATCAGCCTGGTAACTTGGAGATCCTCTAAGGGAACAACATCACAGTTTGCAAAGAAGGAGTCTTCCTGGGCCAGCAACTAACAGTGTGCAGTTCAGTGCTTTTACTCTTCAGCTATAATGAACTCAGGGTTATAGCTCACCACAAGGATCCATATTGTCTTGCTAATTCTTGTAGTGCTTGGGATCTCTTCAAACTGTACACTGCCTACTTTCTGCTACAAGGAAGCAGCACCATGCCGAGAACACATACCCAGACCCTCCCTCCCTTCCTGAGGCTTTCACATGCATCTTGTTTTCTGGTCAAAGACTCTGGCATGCTGAAGAGGACAGCTTTGCCACACTCAGCCCAGAGCTGTATATCCTGAACCTTTTCATTTGTTGATACAGTGCACAGAACAGGCAAGGAAGAGGAATATGCAGTCTTATTATAAAGTAACTAGAGGCTTTTTCTGGTTCAGACCTGATTTCAAAAGCTTTAGCTGCAGGAATTTGGGACCACAGAGCAATAAGGTGATGTCTGGTTCAAAAATTTGTGGTTCTGTGTGTTCTGTCTCTTACCCCTCCCCACACTTGACAATGTTATCTCTAATCACTCAGCTCAATGGAGCTGCTGATGCCCCATGAGACCTCTGATACTTGCTCTCTAGATACCCTGACTCAGACAGAAAGTGGTAAGGAAGCCATGCTCAGCAGGATTCTTCCTGATGTTTGAGCAAAACCAGCACCAAATCCTGAACGTGGCCGTAAGAGGGACCTAGGGGTTTGGACATTATCCTACCATGCATGGAGGTACAGGGATGGGGCTGTGCAAGGTGGCCGGCCCATCATAGAGTAGAGGTGTCAAACTTTTTGACATTGTTATCTACAATGTGTTGAGCTGCATACATAGCTATCTTAGCACTCATATGGTCTATGGGCCACAGGCTAGAAGTGCTTGTTTTTGAACATAGATGAAGAACATTAAGCTATTGCTCCAAGGGGGGACCTGTACATATTTTACAAAGATCTCAGTTTTAGATCCCAGAGCTCATCTGAACTAACCCTACCAGATGATACAGGTACACTCAGTATAAAAAAGAAAATAAGGTCAAATAAGGTTGGGTGACTGTTTTAAAGTCCCAATTGCTTCAAAGCCATCTTATTAGGCCAAGGCCTCCATGTACTTCTTTCTGTCAGGCTGCTGTGCAGATCCTCCTGCCCCTCCCACTGGCATCTAGGTAGGGTTCAGATGGGGAATTGAGAGCACCGCTGAGTTAAACCTTGGTCAAGAGCTTGTGCTTTGGTTCAAACTCCACACCCCCACAATATCATCACATAGCTATGACAGCACCGTGAACATTGACTGGCAACGTTTCAAAAATATTTTAGTAAGTAGTAAAGTTTGCAAAATTAGAATCCATATAGAGCAAGGACAGACTGTACACAATTTTCCTGAGCCTCAGACAAAGACTCAGGACTGAGCAGAAGGCAAGGCAGTTACAGCAAAGCCACATCCACCTTCGTGCACATTCCTGCCCAATGTCCCTACCAATCCCCCTTCTTGCCCACCTACCTCCGCCCGGGCAGGCTACTTTCCGTTTGGCCGCTACTCCCAACTTGCTGCATCTTAGATCTTTCGATGTGTTCCACATAGGTCTGGATCATCTGTCAAGAGAGGTCCTCTGCTAGTGTCACCCACTAAACTCCCAATGCTACAGTTCTGAAGTGTTGTGCTTGGATAAGACAGTTCTTTTAGGGAACAAGCATCGAAGGAACATGAGCAGACAGCTTTCTATCAAACAACAAAGGTATTAGAAGAAGTGACCAAAGATCAGCAGCAAATGGTAAAACCCACGCTCATGCCTGCAGGGTACCCACTAGCACCTACCTCTGTGTGCCGCTGGTGCAGGGCATTGTATTCCTTCTTCATCTCTGATTCTCGTTCCTCCAATCGGGAAACTAGAAAACACAACCACTGTGTCAGCTGCAGTCTATCCTCCACAGCTCAGTCCATGTGTCCTGGTCTGTAACAGCCCTGGCACATGGTACAGCAGAGCACCCTGCTCAGAAAGGTGTAGATGGAGAGGGTGAGTGCCATGTGCATGTGATGGGAGCCTCACATGTGAGAATGCTCAATCCTGCAGTAAGAGAAACCAGGATGGGTGGGACTGACAAAAGCATC